TGGAAACCAGTGTTCACCTGTTGGTACCCTTTTTAACCTGTTGGTACCCAGTGTTCACCTGTGGTCCCTTTGTATTCACCGGGTTGGAAACCCCGTTTTCCCGGGGGGGTACCAGGTTAAAACCTGTTGGTACCCCTTTTTAAACCTTTGGGTCCCAAAAGTTTTCCCCTGTTGGTACCCGTTTTACCTTTTGGGGTTTCCAGTGTTCACCTTTTTGGTCCCCCCCGTTTTCCCTTTTTTTTGGTACCAGTGTTCACCTGCGGGGTCCCCGTTTTCCCCTGTTGGTACCTTTTTAAACCTTTTGGACATTTTCACCTTTTGCTACCCAGTGTTCACCTGTTTTTTCACCTGCGGGGTACCCGTGTTAAACCTGCGGGTTTACCCTTTTTCCTTTTGGTCCCCGTTTTCCCTGTTTTGGTACCAGTTTTTCCCCTGTTGGACCCTTTTTTACCGGTTTTGGTCCCAAGTGTTCCCCTGCTGGTCCCCTTTTTTACCTTTTGGGGTACCAGTGTTCACCTGTTGGAAACCCTTTTTAAAACCTTTTTGGGTTTCCCCAAGTGTTAACCTTTTGGGTCCCAAGGGTGTTCCCCTTTTTGGGGGTACCTGTTTTTCCCCTGTTGGTACCCTTTTTTTACCTTTTGATACCAGTGTTCACCTATTGCTCCCCAGTGTTCACCTGTGACCACCTTTTGGGTCCCCTTTTTTACCTGTGGTCCCCAAGTGTTCCCCTTTTTGGTCCCCGTTTACCTTTTGGGTTTCCCCAGTGTTCACCTTTTTGGTCCCCCGTTTTAAACCTGTTGGTACCAGTTTTCCCACCTGTTGGTACCCGTTTTACCGGGTTGGAAACCAGTTTTTCCCCCTTTTGGGTCCCCCTTTTTTCCCTTTTTTGGTACCATGTTCCCCTGCTGGTACCTGTTTTTTTTTTCCCTTTTTGTTCCCCCTTTTTTACCTGCCCCGGTAACCATTTTTTCCATTTGCTTGGTCCCCTGTTTCACCTTTTGGGGAAACCCGTTTTACCTGTTGGTCCCAGTGTTAAAATTGTTTGGTACCCGTTTTACCTGTTTGGTCCCAGTGTTACCTTTTGGGAAACCCGTTTTACCTGTTTAACCTCCAGTGTTCCCCCTTTTTGGTACCCTTTTTACCTTTTTGGTCCCAGGGGGGTTTCCCCCTTTTGGGTTTCCCGTTGGAAACCCCTTTTACCTTTTGGTTCCAGTGTTAAACCTTTGGGTTTACCCTTTTTAACTGTTGGTAAAAAGTGTTCACCTGTTTGGAAACCCTTTAAAAACCCCTGTTGGTCCCAAGTGTTCACCTGTTGGTACCCGTTTTACCTTTTGGGGTTCCCCAAGTTTTTAAACCTGCTGGTCCCTGTTTTCACCTTTTGGTCCCTTTTTTTAATTTTGGGTCCCTTTTTGGTTCCCACCTTTTGGTCCCCGTTGGGTACCCGTTTTCCCTGTTGGCCCCCAGTGTTCACCTTTTTGGTCCCCTTTTTATCTTTTGGGTACCATGTTCACCTTTTGGGTACCCCCCCTTTTTACCTTTTGGTACCAGTGTTAAATTGGGGGGGTACCCGTTTTCCCCTGTTGGAAACCCAGTGTTCACCTGTGTCTGCAGGTTCTTCATGGCAGAAAGCTTTCACCCAGCTGGGTCTACTCAGGTAAGAGTGTCATTGACTCACCTGTCAGCTTTAAAGAGCCTGATCATTATTTTAAATCGTTTAATCAAAAACCTTTCCCTTTTAAAAAGAGGGGGTTTCTGAAAAGGGGCCGGGTTTTCCCTGTAGAACCAAACTTTCTTTTTTTTAAAAGCTGTTTTTTTATTTTTGATTCAGTAAATGATTTTAAATTTTAACATACACTATGTAGCAAAAAGGTATTAGCTCCAACATCCTGATGATCAGAATCAGGAGTTCCAATCACTTCATGGCCAAAGCAATAAAAATCAACCTCCTACAATGCAGACAGTTGTGATAAACATCAGTGAAAGAACGTCTCCCTTACAGGAGCTCCGGGTACTCATCAGCATGAACTGATTGGATGAAACTTTTGCAACAAATCAGTCCTGAAACGTTCTAAATATTCCAGTCAGCTGGCAGCTGGATCATAAGAAAGCAGAAAAAGTTTGGGAACGTCAGAAACTCCATGTTACCTAACGGAGCGGGTCACCGATGCTTCTATTCAGTCTATTTCTATAGCTCCAGAGCTATAGAAATAGACTGAATAGAATTTAATTTAATTAAATATTTACCAGGCTAGTAACTATTTAGCTAGCCTGGTGCTAGCTAAATATTCAGTTGGTTAAATAAATATTTAATTTGAATTGGAGCTATAGAAATAAACTGAATAGAATTGAACTAAGAAAAGTAGGTGGGTGATCGTCCATCAGAGAAAAAGGAAATGTTTGACTTCACAACAATGAAAGTATAACAGAACCTCATTAACTCGTCTGACAACCAGGACACAGCTTAGGTCGGGGAAGGCTGGACCCGTCAGGGACGACAATGTGCTTTATTGGGATTCTTTGATGGGACAGTCCATCAACTGGTGACCGTTTGTGCTGTTTGAATGAGGCAAAATTCAGTGGAAGACATGGTGAAGCTACAGGTTACACTGTACAGCCAGTCAGAGTCACAGAATGATTGGACCATCAGGAACATTCATGTTAAAGGAAAACGTCCCTCTTATTTCTACATCAGGTCAAACTGGCAGAATTCAGTTGATTTCCTGAAGAATCAGTTCAACCGGACTGGAATCAGCCAATCAGGGGGCTTCAGTTCTCCATCATATGAGGATCTGACAGATTTCAGGTTGGATCTGATTCATCAGATGTTTGGAGGCTGTAGAGAAAAAAATCAATATAAAACGCCGACATATTGACGACAGGTTGAGAAGACGTTTCTCTTCCATCCAGGAAGATTTTTCAATTCAAAATGTCAGAAATAGCGTTTAGTTCCAGGTTTTATCCAGCAGCCCAACAAAGCCTGGTTTTAGTTTAGAAAACATGCAAATAGAAACGGATGAACGGGTCCCCCCCTTTGGAATGGGGGTCGTTTGGCTTCTTTGTTAGCCTGCAATGCCCCATACCTGTCTATGTCTCTGAAAGGGGGGTCGTTAGAGGGAATAGTTGGCCTGGCTTGTATTAAGCCGGGAACTCAATGGGGTTTCTGACATTCTAAATTGAAAAAGCTTCCTGGATGGAAGAGAAACGTCTTCAAACTTGGAGACAAAGTCCAGTGGATTGATTTTAACTTTTTTTGGATGACTATGACTTGGATGACTGAGGATCTTCACCAACTCTTCTCTGGTGTTCTGTCGTAAAGCAGAGGTTTGATGTTCTCATCACTTTACAGTTAAAGGATGGGGGTCCTTAAAAAGTGACGTGGTCCTTAGTTCAGGCTGAGCAGCTCTTAGAACATGCACTAAGAACTTCATCATGCTCTCCAGAAAGTCCTGCATGTAGAAATGAAAAGTAGTCCAAGAAAAGTCAGTTCTACAATCATTGAAGGAATCCAACAGAGATGGACCGAAAAAGGTGCTTAAAAGAACATGCAATGCAAAGATCTGCAGCAGACAATAAACTGTGAGGTTGTTCACAGCGGACCTGCAGAAACCGTCTGACATCAGAGGATCCAGTTGAAGCAGAGAAAGGTCAAATAAAGACTTTAGTCCATCCAGGAGAGTTCTGCACACAAAGTCCAACCTGTCTCCATGGTTACACTGGTTGGTTAAGGCAATGAAGTCATTGTGAGGTTTACCTACTAACTTCGCTCTGTAGAAGATTCACCAATAAACCAAAACATTATGACCACTGAGACGTCTCCTTAGCTGAGCTGTGTGGGAGGCTCCACATCCTCGGGGGGGCAGGAGACAACTGGCCAGTAAGGAGAAATGGTGGATTAGTAAACAAAGAGATTCCAGAACGGTCCGTATGGCAGCAGGTTTTCTTTCCAACCAAGCAATAGCCCCAGACTCCATTCATCTCATCAACTGAGTCCAATCTGAACATGATGAATTGATGGGATGAATGGAGTCTGGGGCTATTGCTTGTTTGGAAAGAAAACCTGCAGCCATACGGACCTTTCTGGAACCAGTTTGAGACGCCTGGTTTAGAGCTACAGGTAAAAAAAAAGGTACTTAGACATTGATTAAGCTGGAGATATTGCTGATTAGATGATTTATCAGATTGGACTCTGGTTGGTTTGATTGTTTCGGGTTAATTTGAGGTAACCCAAAATCTGAATGGACTGGTTAATCAACTTAACCAGCGATTCAGGTTTGTTGGATTAGTTGAGTTGGGTAATGAGATTAATCAGGGTTAGATTAGATAGGGTTAGTGAGGTAGTTTGGGTAGATAACGTGGATCTATGCAGGATTGGTTCCATTCCTGTAAACAGGAATGGAATAATCTGTGAGTAAATCCTGAAAGGATCACTTTAAAATAGTCATGAACCAGAATGCTGAGAAAAACTGGAGCCTAAAGGTGGCTTGGCTCTTCTCTCTGTTCAAACCAGAGCAGCTCATTGGATGCTAACATTAGCTCCACCTGCTATCATCACTCCTTCCTCTGCTCCTCTAAAAGACGCAATTCCAGAAATCTGGGACTCAATAGGCAGCTGGAAAATGGAGCTCTTTGTTTAAGATACCAGGAAACGATAGAAAGCAAATCATTGCTAACTGCTAAAGTTGCTAAGTTTAGCAGTTAGCATACACACCCCTCACATTTAGAGGCATAGCATTGGGACAAAGAATAGGGAGTTAGAAAAAGGGGTCGGAATTAGCTTTATATAAACGATTAAAGGGGAATTCTATCCATCCATTTTCCATCATCCTTATTCCCGCTGGGGTGGTGAGGGGTGCTGGTGCCCATCTCCATCTACGGGCGAGAGGCGGGGCCCACCCTGGACAGAGGGGCGGGGTCCATCTTGGACAGGCCTCCAGTCCATCGCAGGGCAACTCAGAGACAAACAGGACAAACAACCATTCAGACCTAAGGAGAATTTAGAGAAATAACCTAACATTCATGTTTTTGGACTGAGGGAGGAAGCCAGAGTACCCGGAGAGAACCCACGCATGCTCAGGGAGAACATGCAGACTCCATGCAGAAAGACCCCGGGCTGGGAATCGAACCTGGACCAGCTGTGCTACCCACTCACCCACTGTGGAGCCCCACACAGGAATCAAGGTAATTCATTAAACAGGAATTAAAAGAAAATTTCAAAAGGGCCGTAAATGGAAAGAAGCAGGATAGGACTGGTTTAATCAGGTTGGACTGGGTTGGACCGGGTTGGACTGGTTTAATCAGGTTGGACCGGGTTGGACCGGGTTGGACTGGTTTAATCAGGTTGGACCGGGTTGGACCGGGTTGGACTGGGTTTGACCGGGTTGGACCGGGTTGGACAGGGTTTGACCGGGTTGGACCCGGTTGGACCAGGTTGGACCAGGTTGGACCGGGTTGGACTGGGTCAGTCAGGCTTCTGTTGCTCTTACTGCTCTCCTCAATGCTTTATGCTTCTGCCAGTTAAAAACAGGGTTATGCATAATATCCAAGGACATATAGCTACAGCCAAGTGACCTTCATGCCATAGCGCTCAAAGGAATAATTTAAGCCCCGCCCCCTGTGTTCTTGCCTTTCAAAATAAAGGTTCACATTAAACATATATATATTTTTTCAGGCGATCAAATTCCCAGTGTTGCACCATATTCTGTGATCTTTTTCTTATTGTGACTAAAGGAGGAACTTTATCCACACCAGTCTGTAATGTAGACTTTAAACAATAGATATGAAATAATCCATTAAAGCAAACAATGGCTTAAATCCGACTGTAGGTCATCCAATTGGTGTCAGGTTAGTCTGTCAGAGGCTGCATGTAGAGACTGAAACTGTCCAGCAGGTATCAGTATTTAGTGACACAGAGTCAACTTGATACAAATGTGTCGAAACGCCTCATGACGCCTCATGAACTGGCCACTAGATGGTGCTATTGCTGCTGTTGGTGAGACGAATCATGTTCACCTCCTGCTCTGCCTGCTGAGCAGCGCGCTGTTCAGGCTATCTCCATCTGAATTTGAAAAGAGTCGAATTCAGCTGGTTTTCCTTAGATAGAAAACTTTGGATCAATCAGACTGGATGATCTGGTGAACTGGAAAGTGACCTGAGATGACATGATGTGAATTGGCGCTATAGAAATAAACTGAATAGAATTGAATAGTGCTAATCCTACTATCAACAGACCAATACCTAAACCAAACTTATCATCCCACATTATTTTTTCCTTAAAACTAGTTTTGTGATAAAACAGGAATTAAACCAGGACATTTGATCGCCTGAAAAAGGCGATCGCTTCTTATCACTTAGAGAGTATTTTGAAAAGGTAAGATTAAAGGGGGCGTGGCTAAAGTTTACCAGAAAAGCAACGTGAGACGAGTGCAATGCCACCAAGGTTACTAGGCCGTAGCCACTGATCAGTTCCTCAGTCTACAGGAACTGGAAGCTTGTGCCGTCTTTAAAAAGGAAGACTTCGTATTGCTACTCTGTGTCGTCATGAGGGTCATAAGTTGGGCTCTGGATCCTCCATCCCAAAGGGTGCAGGTATGACCTCAGGTTCCGTCTGCTGGAACTTCATCTCTGAAAGTTGTTGCGAGTGTAACACATGGCCCTCTGGGATCAGCTTATTTGAGGAGGACCCCTCAGAGGACTCTTCCTCTCCTTGAGTCAGTTCACTGTAGGCTGCGTTTAAGACCACTGTTGGGAGGCTCCGCCTTCTACAGGGTGGAGCGGGTGTGGAGGAGGAGGAAGAAAGTAGGTGGGACATGGATGAGAGGGAGGAAGAAGAGAAGAGGAGCAAAGCCTCAGAGCCTCCGTGTGGTGGAGAGGAGGCACCTTCGGGGGCTGGTTGTATTTCCTTCTTCTTCTGCTCTTCCTCCTCCCGGCCAGTCCCAGCCCAGAATGAGTGTCTTCTGCGGGGACCGGGGGACCTCTGGCGAGGCCGAGGTAACGTGAATGAGTTGAGCACCTCCTTGTGGTGGGAGCTCCAGCAGGGCGTGGACGTTTGTGGCAGGGAGTGTCTGTCAGAGGAGAGAGGCAGCTCCTGATAGATACTAAAGACTGCACCTCCCCCTCCATCACTGGACCTCCTGCTACTGGCAGACTGCCTTGACGAAAGCAGGGCAACTGGGCAAGTTCGGTACTTTGAGTCCAGACTCCTCGACTGAACGTAGTTAATGAGTCCGTTGAGTTGATTGGCCGACGGCGGATGGTTAGAGCCAGACGAGGAAGAATGAGGCTTTCGGACACTGTGGAGGTCAATGACGGTGGAGTAAATGTCCCGCAAGTTTATGACTTTTGTCTTCTTATCTCGGTTCTCATGCAGGACAGCGTTGGCACAGATGAAGAGGAAAATTCCAATCCCCATGATGAGCGGGCCAAAGACCTTCAGCTTGTCAGAGTACAGATACCTGTAGAGACACAGTGATTCAGAGACGGTTTAAAGGTCAACTTAAACCAACCAAAGGAGATAAAACTGATCTGTTGGAAGGTCCTCAGTTCAACATATAGCCGCCCTATTCTACGCTAACTGTTCATGATAACACAATGATTTATAAGGTTGCTTGGTGTGACAGTGTGGGGTCCTGCCACTATGCCTCTGATGGATCATGAGCCTGGCTACTTGGCTAAGGGGGTATCCCCCTGGCTGACTGGTCAGCAGACATGGCTTTCACCCCGGAGTCTGGGAATCAGGAACTCTGTCCTTCGGACGCTTTTGTTTGAGTTACTGGATCAAAAACATTCTGTGTTAAAACCAAAAGTATTCCAAAGAAATGGCAACATTACGACATTAGAAATGTGAATATAACAAGAATAAACCAGTTGCCTCGGTTGCATAACCTGAAGAGGTTCTGGACACATCCTGCTCTCAACGGGCTTTGGAGTGTGTCACATGTTGAATAATCATTACTCAGAACTCCTATTTTTAGTGAAGCTGCAGAGGGAGCAGAAACTGTGGGCTTGCAAGGGATCATTTCCATATCACCATCTTTCCAAAGCCAAAGGTCCGACCATAACCTGCCTCCCTAAATAAACTGAGCGTCTGATATAATCTCAAATATCTGTCATGCATAATTCTAACTACATAATCCAGAACAGAAGTGACTTTAAAGGGTTGCCTTACAAACCCCTACAACCACATCTAGGATATTCAAAACATGCATAAACCAACTGATAGACATTTTCAACTCCCTGAAAATGATGCCTGAGATATCCAGGTTTGTTTACCTTTCCAAGAAATCTTCCAGAAATCCTCGTGGAAGATGGTGATTGGTCCCATTGATAGCCTCTGTTTGGTTAAAAACATTTTCTTCTTTTCCTTTCTCATTTCTTTTATCTTCTCCCGCGTTGACTCTGTCATCTCTTTCTGGCTCCTCCCACCTGGTTTCTTTCTGATGCAGACAGAAAAATTCTCATCAGAACCTTCAGCAGAGCAGGTCTGTCAAACTTGCTCCAGGAAGCGCCATGTGGCGGCTGGTTTTCCTTCCAACCAAACACCAATCGTCTCATCAAGTCATCATCTTAGTCTTCCTTTCTGGAACCAGTCTGACAGATCTGCTCTATAGAATTCTGGGTAATATTATAAACCTCAGAGACCTCTTTAAGATCTCAGGTAAACTCTCACCTGGACCTCAACAGTTGCTGGTGTTGGAGTTCTGAAGGCCATCAAGGCCATAGCGGCGCCCTCCTGATGCTGAGAGCTGAGGAACAGTCCATTACGAGGCCAGTAGCCCAGAGCTGCCATCAGCACACCAACCAGCAGGACCAGGATCCCGAGCACAGCTACCAGTCCTGCGATGGAGCACAACTTTAACTTCCCCTTGACAACCACCACCTCGTTGCGTCTGAAAGAGAAGAGGAAATGGCAGAGGAGTCTTGGAATGCATATTGCAAAATGGTCTAAGCTGACCTTTAGCATAGGAAGCTTTAGCATAGGAAGCTCTTGATGTCCCTCACTGAGGCATGATGTAAAAGCACCGAGCATCTCATGGATATTAATGATAATCTCTGGAGAGAAGAGAGCGTAAACTGACCACTACAGGTGGCTGTATTGCTCAAGGCAAATGTACCGAGCATCATTCGTTGCCGTCTGAGCAATGGAGAGCTTCAGCTGTTCCTACTTGTGTGTAACTTGTGTTTTTATGGTGTTCTTCTAGAAAGCTGTAGTCCCAAATTTGACAAGCATCATGTTTTTGCATCTCCTTTGAATAATGACGCAGGGGTTAAAGGTCAATCGACCTTTTCCAACTGAGGGTTCTTATTGTTGACCTTGTCCAAGGTGAGGTAACCAGGGGCAATAAATGGTAAATAGCATGTACTTATATAGCGCCTTTTTTCAAGTCAGGAGACTTGACCAAAGCGCTTTCCACTACATTCATTCACCCATTCACACTCACACACTGATGGTGGCAAGCTACATTGTAGCCACAGCTGCCCTGGGGGTCACTGGCAGAAGCGGGGCTGCCGTACACTGGCGCCACCGGACCCTCTGACCACCATCAGTAGACAATGCAGGTGAAGTGTCTTGCCCAAGGACACAACGACACTGAAAGTTGGAGTCGGGGCTTGAACCGTCAATCCTTCGATTTCAGGGCAAACTCCTACATCCAACGCCACTGTCGCCCCTACTATCCTAACTATACTAACCAGACTAAATGGTGTTTGTTTTCTGATGGTTACCTTTTGTTTTTGTTCTTTTTCTTGTTTCCATGCGGTCTGTGCGGTTTGGACCTCAGAGAGTCTTGTCGCCGGGCGTTGATTCTCAGCAGGCCTCCTGTCGCAATCATCACAGGCCACCAATCAAACGGCGGCTGAGTGGGTCAGAACTCGCCCACTGCCGCCTCACCTGGAACAGATTAGACGGCTTCAATCAGAGGAACATCAAGTTAAGAAGGACCTGAAAAAAATAACCACAAACTTCCACTCAGGATCAGAACCCAAGACGGACGGTGACCTTTGCAGACCTGATGCTTTTCAGGATCAAAACCCCCGAGTCACCCTGACCAATACAGGCACATTGGTCCAAAATCAGAACCAATAAACCCCATGACCCTAACGGACCTGATATTGGTTAAAGATCAGAACCTGTGATGGACCCAACCATTACAGACCTGATTCCTGCCCAGATTCAGAACCAATGAAGGTCTGTCAGCCTTTATAAACCAGAACATGACCTTTACAAAACTAATGTCTGTCAACAGTCAGAGACCAACAACTGAACATTAACCTCTGTAGACCTGTCCAGGTCTACAGTCCAGGTTTCTAGAGTGTAACCTATTGTTGGGACTTAAACCATCATAAATAGCTGTGAAACCTCTCTTCTCTGATCTCTAACCCCCCCTCAGCCCAACTTGCTCCTCAGGACACAATCACCAAACTGCTGCAAAACAGACCGTTTGCCTCACATTTCTCTCAGTGTCAGAACTTACAGAGTCGGACTGGAGGGGAAAGCCTCCAAAGGAAGCCGTTCCCTTGGTGTGAGCTAGCCTCGTGAGACCATCCTGATCTCGCAAGCTTTCAAGGTTTCACTTGCTAATCAGTCTGGAGACTCTCCGTTAAAGAAAATTAGGAGCCATTCACCAAACGAACGTCCAATCAGCGTTGGCTTTGAGGCGGGTTGAGGTGTGACGCAACGAGAAGCGCGACAGTTCAGTCTAAAGAACATGGCGGCTTAAGCCGATGAAACTAGCGTTAGCGTGGCTATCGAGCAAGTTTAATCGGAATTACAGAGTATTTCTTCACTGAAAGAAGAGCAAAACACTGCTCTGGAGGCTTTTCTCAGAGGAAAAGATGTTTTTGCTCTTCTCCCGACTGGTTTCGGCAAGAGTTTCTATCAATTGGCTCCTCTTCGTCGTCGCTCTGTTACGTCATATGCTTCTTTGATCTGATTAGTTTATTTGGCCCGTCTATCACCAACATAGGCCAATCAGCTAACCAGTATTTTCGCCCCTTCCCAAAATTACTTCAACGGAACGTTTCAAGATGGATATGTGGAGCAAATCCATCTGGCGGAGTCAGGTTAGTTCATAGTAGTTTAATTTCACCAATTTTTAACTGAAATATGTTTCACTTGGAGCTAAATGGTTTTGTTTAAAGAAAAGTCACTCATATTCAGAATCCAAACGTCTGAAAGTTCTTTAAATCTGAAATTATTCCATCCTGTTCAATAAATGATCAGAGTTTTTAATTCAGAGTAATTTTCATGTGAATGTGCTTTACTGGAGGCATCCATGTTTGTCAAAGAACACTACTGCCACCTACTGGTTAGTGACATCACGGTGCGGTGAAGTCCTCTGGAAATCTTCAATAATTGTTGTTGATTGCAGATGTGTCTAGTAGTTCCCATTGATTTAGCTTGGAAAGCGGGGAGAATGGTGCTAGGCTTACCGCACCGTGACGTCACTGCTGGAAGATGGCAGGAGGGAGGGGCTACTAGATTTGGGCAAAAATGGCCGCTCCCAGACTCTGTGATCACGATAAAAATTCATTAAATCACCGCAAAGAATTAGTTTTAGGTATAAATAACGATCCACTGATTATTCCTGCTGAACTTTTCCTTTAATAAACTTTTATATTTTGAACAGAAGTCGTAGCGATTTTATTCCATTTATCTGCAGATTTATCTGTTTGACCATAATTTGAGCTCCTTTCATATTTTCATTTGCTATTCTAACACAGAGCAAGTATAAGACAGTGAATAATATCTGATTAGGAAATGTCCCCCCCCCACCACCCCCCCACCCACCAGGGTGGGAAAAAAATTATAAAGTATCAAAACACTATAAAGCTGCAGAACTGAACAGACTAAATGTGGGTCCTCCCTAAGAGCTAATAATGGACCCCTGGACCATCTTTTAGCTCAGAACTACATCTCCCAGCATGCATTGCAGCACAGGGCTGGTTCTGTGAGGGAAAGCTCATGGGACCGATCAGAACGAAGCACTTATCAGCACCTTGTTCTCCTGCTGATGAGATGAATGCAGCTCAGCTGCTGGGTCAGAGCGGCCGATCAGAACCTGCAGCCACAGAACGGATCAGAACCAGTTGATTGGTTCTGATTCTGATCAGAACCGATACCAATCAATGACACAGACAAAAACAAAGCATTTCTTCCTACTGATGGAGCTGCTGCTGCTTCATGGTTCTCCTCCTTGGTTCTCCTGCTGCTTGGAGGTCCCCAGTTGTGCCTCCTCTTCTTCTCCTCCTTCTCTCCACTAGGTTCTCTGTCAGCTCCTTCTTGTGTTGGTGTTTCTGCAGCGATGCTCCGGCTCTAAGATCTCCTCCTCCTCCTCAGTTTCCTCCCACTGATGCTCAGCTGGGAACAACGCGCTCCTCTCCTCTCCTCCTCTCTGCCTGCCTCACACATGCATGCTGAAAATAAAACCCTCAGCTCTCCTCCTCCACTCCCCCCTCTGCAGCATCATTTTTCATAGTTAGAGCCCCCCCCTCCCCTGTGTTGACTACTCACAGAGAAAAGCTGCTGCGTGAGGTGTGGCCAGCAGGGGGTGCTATCTGCTCTCTCCTGCACGCTTTATTATTGCCTCCATCAGCAGGATTTTACTGCAGAGGATCAACTTTATTTTCACAGTTTATAGAAAAAAAAGACTTGTTGCATAAAGCTCAACAGAAAAATGAACATTAGAGTTTATAGAGTTCAGCAGAGATCAGAATGAGAACAATGCAGAAAATGAAAACCAGTCTGAAATCATGGTGAAAAATGCTGTAGAACATTGAGTTGTTCTCTGTTTAAAGCCGTAGGGAAATCATATTAAAATGTTCTATTTATCAGATCATATTGTCCCTAAAGTTAGAGAATTTCTATTAAAAAAAAAATCCTGTCATAAAATCTGTGTTTTTCCCGTTATCTCCTGCAGGCCAGTTAGTTCTACGTCAGCCTGAACACCTAAATTCGGCCAATCATATATCAACGGTCATCTGTCAATCAAATGTTTTCGGTCATAGCATCTTGATTCATGTGTCGCAGCTAATATACGCAGCGGTTGAAACCAGAATCCTTTCCTTTCCCATTGAGTTGCGTCCCAGTGTTCACGGGGATGGACGTCTGTGTCTTCGGCAGGCGTAGAGCTAACAGAACTGGCAGCGTTGCGAGGCAAGGGCTCAAACATGTACGGCTGGAAGCCTTCTACACCAAACCAAGCTTCTGCCGCCCTGGCGTCCTCTTCCACAACATCTTCGTCCCCGCTTTCCTCCTCTAAATAAAAAATGGATGACGGAGGAGACTCATCCACGACCTCCGACACTAAACTCTCCTCCTCTTGCATGTTTCCGCTGTCCATAGCGTTCCTTGACAGTGTCGTTTCTAAGTCACCAATTTAGTGCTACTTGGTCCCAATGGAATTTCCCATTGGGAACCTGCTAGCACTAAGATGCTAACCAGTTAGCAATTTAGTGTTACTTGGTCCCAATGGAATTTCCCATTGGGAACCTGCTAGCGCTAAGTTGCTACATTAACTTTATTCACTCGTGTAAAGTCGGGCGCCACTCGGGAGAATTCAGAAATGCAACAGTTGGAAAAGCCGCTTTCTTACAACTTAAATGTTAGGAAACATTTCCTTGTTTCCTCAGATTCAACCAGCTGGTTTTCATTTTCTTTCATTTCTTCTGCCCCCCCGCAGCCCCCCCCGGGTTCATAGGTATTGACCCCCACCTCCAGGTTATTACTGGATCTATTTCTGCTTTAGGAAAATAATCACCAATTTGACCTTCCAAGATTCTTCTGGACGGAGAAAAACATTGGAATAAAAAACGCCATCCGGAATAACTTCCAACTCTGCTTACTTGAATAAAAATATGAGGTGCCATTCGTTGGCTACTCTACCCACCACCAGCATTCCTCCAGCATAATGCTGCCACCACCGTACCCAGCAGAGAAGATGAAGCCATCAGACCATAGAACCTTCCTCCGGTTGAATCTGGAGCTTTTGGAGGAAATCCAGGTGAATCTTTCTTTCCTTGCCTCTCCTGCAGATCGCAGTGCTGAGGACCCCCCCCCCCCCCCCCCCCCATCCTCCTGATGTAAACACCTACCTGTGATCAGCTGACTCCTCTGGACCAATCAGCTCCTCAGGAAGTGGACCAATGGCCAGAGCAGACTTCAGGTCAGAAACTTTATTGATCTCATCAAACACTGACAGACACAGCAGGCAGGAAGTGTTACCATGGAAACCTGAGGAAACCTGCTCTGTAGAAGTCCGTTTGTTTACACTGAGCATGTTTAGCTGAGCACCCTGAATGTAGTCCTGCTCTGACTGTGACATCACAGAGGGGGCGGGGTCAGCTTTTTTTGGTTCAAAGCCAGCAGGACTGAAATACAAATCTATACTCAAATAGAAACCTTAAAATAGAACTATATAGAGATGCAGCAGGAACAATAGAAACTCTGAAACATTACAATAAATTATCAGCTGTGGGAATAAAGCTCCGCCCACCACCAGGAATCAACATTCCCGACCAATCACAGCAGAGCAATAGGGATGACATCATTGTTTATGTCCGGGAGGTAAAATCCAGAGAAAGTAGTGGGTGAGGAGGCGGGGCCACGGTGTGTCATCATCACTGGCTTCCTGTTAGAATCCTGCTGACATAGACGGTGATGATGTCACGCTCATGACTTCATCACAGCGTCACTCCTCGCTGTCCATCGCAGCATTATGACCTCATCCCCACTGATGATGTCACTCCTCTGAGGGGAGCATCTTCCTGCTGTGCTCTGATGCGGCCGAGGTCTAATGAAGTCAATCAGCCAATCAGACGGCAGCAGCCACGTTGGTAACCACCTACAGCTGATTTAGGCCCCGCCTCCTTCCAGCTGGATCAGCTGCCCTGCATGATTGTCATCACAGTCAACGTCCCAGAATCCCTTTCACATTGTACTCCTCAGGCTGAACCACGCCCCTCCTCAAAGAGGGCGGAGCCTAAGACAGCAATCAGGTGTTCAAAGAGAAGCAGCACCTGAAGACACCTGAGTTCAGTGGGACGCCAGAACTTTTCATTAGTAAATAGGTGACTGAGAGGGAGGGGCTGGATTATAAGGGGCGGGGCTTATCTTCAGGAGTCTGAATGTGGTCAGTCAGATGCTGTAATCCTGAACATCTGATTGGCTCTTGACCTCAGCCTGTGATTGGCTCTCGTCCTCAGCCTGTGATTGGCTCTCGTCCTCAGCCTGTGATTGGCTCTCGTCCTCCGCCTGTGATTGGCTGTTCTTGCCCTCGGTCTGTGATTGGCTCTTTTCCTCGGCGTGTTTAAACATTAGGATGGAATTGTATATTTTGAGGGCGGGGCCAAGTTTGATTGACATGATCCTGACGATGTCGCGCTGTGTCAGCAGCAGGAAGGCTCGTCCATCTATTTGCTAAAAAGAAAGAAGAACCAATAAGATCAGAGTACAGGAGGGAGATCGACACCTCTGAGATCAGCTGCTAAACCATTATTAACTCATTTTATCCAGCAGAGGGCAGCAGCCTGATTTCCTATAACATCCATGTTCCTGCTCTTAAGAGTTAAACCTCATTGGTTCCCTCCCTAACGTGGTCATCATCCTGTTCTTAGAGTTAAGCCTCATTGGTTCCCTCCCTAACGTGGTCATCATCCTGTTCTTAGAGTTAAGCCTCATTGGTTCCCTCCCTAACGTGGTCATCATCCTGTTCTTAGAGTTAAACCTCATTGGTTCCCTCCCTAACGTGGTCATCATCCTGCTCTTAGAGTTAAACCTCATTGGTTCCCTCCCTAACGTGGTCATCATCCTGTTCTTAGAGTTAAACCTCATTGGTTCCCTCCCTAACGTGGTCATCATCCTGTTCTTAGAGTTAAACCTCATTGGTTCCCTCCCTAACGTGGTCATCATCCTGTTCTTAGAGTTAAGCCTCATTGGTTCCCTCCCTAACGTGCTCATCATCCTGTTCTTAGAGTTAAACCTCATTGGTTCCCTCCCTAACGTGGTCATCATCCTGTTCTTAGAGTTAAGCCTCATTGGTTCCCTCCCTAACGTGGTCATCATCCTGTTCTTAGAGTTAAGCCTCATTGGTTCCCTCCCTAACGTGCTCATCATCCTGTTCTTAGAGTTAAGCCTCATTGGTTCCCTCCCTAACGTGGTCATCATCCTGTTCTTAGAGTTAAACCTCATTGGTTCCCTCCCTAACGTGGTCATCATCCTGCTCTTAGAGTTAAACCTCATTGGTTCCCTCCCTAACGTGGTCATCATCCTGTTCTTAGAGTTAAACCTCATTGGTTCCCTCCCTAACGTGGTCATCATCCTGTTCTTAGAGTTAAGCCTCATTGGTTCCCTCCCTAACGTGGTTAACATCCTGTTCTTACAGTTAAACCTCATTGGTTCCCTCCCTAACGTGGTCATCATCCTGTTCTTAGAGTTAAGCCTCATTGGTTCCCTCCCTAACGTGGTTAACATCCTGTTCTTACAGTTAAACCTCATTGGTTCCCTCCCTAACGTGGTTAACATCCTGTTCTTAGAGTTAAACCTCATTGGTTCCCTCCCTAACGTGGTCATCATCCTGTTCTTAGAGTTAAACCTCATTGGTTCCCTCCCTAACGTGGTTAACATCCTGTTCTTACAGTTAAACCTCATTGGTTCCCTCCCTAACGTGGTTAACATCCTGTTCTTAGAGTTAAACCTCATTGGTTCCCTCCCTAACGTGGTCATCATCCTGTTCTTAGAGTTAAACCTCATTGGTTCCCTCCCTAACGTGGTCATCATCCTGTTCTTAGAGTTAAGCCTCATTGGTTCCCTCCCTAACGTGCTCATCATCCTGTTCTTAGAGTTAAGCCTCATTGGTTCGCTCCCTAACGTGGTTAACATCCTGTTCTTACAGTTAAACCTCATTGGTTCCCTCCCTAACGTGGTTAACATCCTGTTCTTAGAGTTAAACCTCATTGGTTCCCTCCCTAGCGTGGTCATCATCCTGCTCTTAGAGTTAAGCCTCATTGGTTCCCTCCCTAACGTGGTCATCATCCTGTTCTTAGAGTTAAGCCTCATTGGTTCCCTCCCTAACGTGGTTAACATCCTGTTCTTACAGTTAAACCTCATTGGTTCCCTCCCTAACGTGGTCATCATCCTGCTCTTAGAGTTAACCCTCATTGGTTCCCTCCCTAACGTGGTTAACATCCTGCTCTAAGAGTTAAGCCTCATTGGTTCCCTCCCTAACGTGGTTAACATACTGTTCTTACAGTTAAACCTCATTGGTTCCCTCCCTAACGTGGTTAACATCCTGTTCTTACAGTTAAACCTCATTGGTTCCCTCCCTAACGTGGTCATCATCCTGCTCTTAAGAGTTAAACCTCATTGGTTCCCTCCCTAACGTGGTCATCATCCTGCTCTTAGAGTTAACCCTCATTGGTTCCCTCCCTAACGTGGTTAACATCCTGCTCTAAGAGTTAAGCCTCATTGGTTCCCTCCCTAACGTGGTTAACATACTGTTCTTAGAGTTAAGCCTCATTGGTTCCCTCCCTAACGTGGTTAACATACTGTTCTTACAGTTAAACCTCATTGGTTCCCTCCCTAACGTGGTCATCATCCTGCTCTTAAGAGTTAAACCTCATTGGTTCCCTCCCTAATGTGGTCATCATCCTGCTCTTAAGAGTTAAACCTCATTGGTTCCCTCCCTAATGTGGTCATCATCCTGCTCTTAAGAGTTAAACCTCATTGGTTCCCTCCCTAACGTGGTTAACATCCTGTTCTTACAGTTAAACCTCATTGGTTCCCTCCCTAACGTGGTCATCATCCTGTTCTTAGAGTTAAACCTCATTGGTTCCCTCCCTAATGTGGTTATCATCCTGTTCTTAGAGCTAAACCTCATTGGTTCCCTCCCTAACGTGGTCATCATCCTGCTCTTAGAGTTAAACCTCATTGGTTCCCTCCCTAACGTGGTCATCATCCTGTTCTTAGAGTTAAGCCTCATTGGTTCCCTCCCTAACGTGGTCATCATCCTGTTCTTAGAGTTAAACCTCATTGGTTCCCTCCCTAACGTGGTCATCATCCTGTTCTTAGAGTTAAACCTCATTGGTTCCCTCCCTAACGTGGTTATCATCCTGTTCTTAGAGTTAAACCTCATTGGTTCCCTCCCTAACGTGGTCATCATCCTGTTTTTAGAGTTAAACCTCATTGGTTCCCTCCCTAACGTGGTCATCATCCTGTTCTTAGAGTTAAACCTCATTGGTTCCCTCCCTAACGTGGTCATCATCCTGCTTCCAGTGCTCCTGGTCCTTCACCGTCCATGGAGCCAACAGCAGGAAGCCAATCATGGACGGGAGAGGAGCTCTTGTGCCCAATTCAGACAGCCTTTAGCCTTCCAGGCATTATTATGGAACAGAAACTTACATTTCTATTCTACGGGTTCTACTGTGGTTCTACTATAGTTCTATTGGGTTCTAACATAGTTCTGCTATAGTTCTACTGGGTCATATGAGTAGAACGGCCATCTGATGTAACTTGACTCCCAGGAGAATTAACTGGTCTACATGGACAACAGCACAGGTAGTCCTGGGAGAAGGAGGACACCAGCAGACCGGGAACCAGGGTGATTGACTAGAACACGGTAAAGTCCTGGTGATGCTGAGGGACCATTGATGCTGTCTCTAATCTCCTTTCATTCATGGTTTACGGTCATTGCTGCCATAATCTGGCCCACTCTTATCCTGGTTGGATTCTGAAGGAGGTTTCCTCCCCACTGTATCCCTGTGCTTGTCAGTAATAAACTGCTAATCCACCTGGTTACAGCTGATGTCATTAAATCCATGCAGCTCATTGGACGTCTTACCTCCTCTCTGAACTGCTGGGCCTGTTCCTCACATCCAGGAAGAGACTCGATGAAATTGGACACCTGTGACATAGAGAGGAAACGATCACACAGTTCAGGTCCCCTGTATGGCATCACCATGGCAACACAAACCAGGGAAGCAGTCATCGTTACCCACCTGCTGGACGCTCCAGCACTGGACGGCGTCGGCGGGGATTCTGGCCACGCCCGGAAGCAGCTTGCGGTGCTGCTCCCAGCAGAGCGACAGGTCGCGTCCGGGCTGCGGCGACATGGCGGACAGGAAGACGGACTGATGGAGGGCGGCCTGCAGGCTGGACTCTGCTGCAGGAGACACCAGAGGACATCACGCAGGGTGGGACCAGAACCACCAGGTTCAACCTGATGCTGAACCATCCCATCACTGTGGTTACCGGGGAAACAGAAACCTTCTCTCGCTGCTGTGTTTCCATGGCAACACAGCACAGAGCCACTGATCTAACAATCATCTGACTGTTCTGACTCCGCCTTCCTGTCTCCATGACAACAGAGAAGAATCTGTGACATCACAGCCGGGGTCTGAACAGAAGCGAGTGGAATTCAGCATGAGAGTCGGTTCTGCCCGGGAGGAAGGAGGAGCATGAGGGAGGGGGAGGAAGGGGGGGGAGGAAGGGGGAGGAGAAGGGGGGCCGTGGAGGAGAGAGGGGGGGAGGAGGGTCCTGGTGGGGAGGACCTGCAGCAGTCAGCAGACCATCAAACTGCCGCAGTTCTTTGTTTCATTCAGATTAATCTCCAAGTTCAGCCACGCCCTCTCTCACCGCACACTGGTTTCCATGGTAACCAGCCTCTTCCTCTGCCTGGACTGAACACAGCTCCCCCTGGTGGTGACTAGCTAACAGTGATGGTGCAAAGATCACCAGAAAGGTTCTGAACCCAAGACCAGCAGCAGAACTTCAGAACTTTATAGAACCTGCGGCCTGACGGAGCGGCGAGAGCGTGATGACAGCGGAGTCCGTGGAAAAAGATCAAAGACATCAACTCAACTTTTCTATTTAAAGTTTAAACGTATCAACAGCTCCATCAGGACACTGTGGGCAGAGCAGGGCGCTGAGAAGGATGCAGTCTCCGGCTGCACTCTGGGTCCCTGAGCAAGACCCTTAACCCCACACTGCTCCCCGGGGGGGAGGGGTTCAATCTGGAGAGTGAATTTCTCCAATAAATTATATTTACATGAAGGGAACCAATAAAACAGCTGTTATGGTTACAGTAAAACCACTGCTGCATCATGGGCCGCCTCCTGCGCTGTGATTGGTCAGATTAGATGGTTACAAACAGAGTACTCTATGAGGTAAGCTCTATAGATCTATGGCAGACAGAATATAAATAGAGTGATAAAGGGCTGAGGAGCGCCCTCTGCTGGGCCAACAGTTAAACTGGTTCCAGAACCAGAACACATAGAACATACCTGGACTGATGGTTCTGAGAGGAACTTCCTCCTCTTCCTGCTTCACACGCAGCAATTTGGTTGGTTGAGACAATCTGTGGGCGGAGACAGAGAGAACAGAAAAAATCATTATCTTCATCATCCTCATCCTCCTGATCGTCCTCATCCTCATCTGAATCATCATCCTCCCCCTCCTCATCATTATCATCATCATCATCCTCCTCCTCATCATCTTCATCATCCTCCTCATCATGATCCTCCTCATCCTCATCATTATCATCCTCATCATCATCTTCATCATCATCCTCCTCCTCATCCTCATCATTATCATCCTCCTCCTCCTCCTCATCACCCTCCTCCTCCTCATCATCTTCATCATCATCCTCCTCATCATCTTCATCATCCTCCTCATCATGATCCTCCTCATCCTCCTCCTCCTCATCCTCCTCATCATCTTCATCATCCTCCTCATCATGATCCTCCTCATCCTCCTCATCATCATCTTCATCATCCTTATCCTCCTCATCATGATGATCCTCATCATTATCATCATCCTCCTCATCATCATCATCTTCACCCTCAACATCCTCCTCCTCCTCATCATCCTCCTCATCATCATCCTCCTCCTCATCATCATCTTCATCATCCTCCTCCTCCTCATCATCATCCTCATTATCCTCATCATCCTCATCCTTTTCATCATCATCATCCTCCTCCTCCTCATCATCATCCTCATCCTTTTCATCATCATCATCCTCATCCTTTTCATCATCATCATCCTCCTCATCATCATCCTCCTCCTCCTCCTCCTCATCATCCTCATCCTTTTCATCATCCTCATCCTCATCCTCCTCCTCCTCCTCCTCCTCATCATCATCCTTTTCATCATCCTCATCCTCCTTATCCTCCCCCTCATCATCAGTGATGCAACATTTTTCTCCTGTGGCAGATGGATAGGACCAAAGAATGGGTTCTACTCTGAGTCCAGGGTTCTAACTGGGTTCTGCTGTAGTTCTACTGGGTTCCATAGGTTAATCATACAGCAGTCTGTTGGTTAATAGATGTTCTAGTTCCTTTAAACTGGAAGTCTATTCTGGTTCCAAAGGTTATTCTGTTATTCTGCACTATTTCTGCCGTTTCTATGTCCTTAAACTGTCCATTGGTTCTCCTAATGTTCCTGTCTGGGTTCTGCTGGTTCTCCTAATGGTTCTGTTCGGGTTCTGCTGGTTCTCCTGGTGCTGCCGAGGCTCTGAGGATATTTTCAGATGTCTGTTACATAAAAGCAGGTTAGATCACCTGCAGAGAACAGCCCCCCACCCCCGGCTGAGCAGAGCCAATCACAGAGCCGTCTCACCTGTCCGCCGGTCTCTTCCTCTTCCCCAGGGGGAGCAGCAGCGGCGCCTCTGGTGACTCCTCCTCCTTCTCCTCAGCTGCTCTCCTGCTCCACAGACAGGGAGGTGATCAGAACACTTCCTGCTCCGTTTGCAGCGTAGCAGCAGGGCACGGCGCCCCCTGCTGTCAGCTGCTCTCTACAGCAGAGCCCTGACCAATCAGCGCTGTTCTGTGGTTACCTGTGAGGCAGGTAGGCCTGCTGATGGATGGACACCGGAACAAGTGTGACGGAGCGCTCCCCTCCCAGCCGATCAGGAAGCACCACCTCCTTCCTCATGTTGATGTCAGAATACGGACATCCGAAGGCACTGAGCACAGACAGACGGACACAGAGGTGGGCGGGTCAAACCCACCAGAAGGCAGGACTATGACCAGGTGTGGGGGGCGGTACCTGTGGTGTCCCGTGTATTTGGCTCCTTTGATGTGTCCGACTCCTCTGCAGCCGGCGGTGGGACAGACTCCCTGAGACGGCGAGGGCAGCGGGGTTGAACCTGTCCAACGACAACACACAGGCTTCAGGACTCTGACAGCAGGCCTGACTGAGAGCCGGCCGTCCCTGGGGGGGCCGTCTGACCTGGGGGCGGTTCCAGCGGGTGACCCGTGCGTTGGCACCACCCCACCGGGTGCAGGTCGCCGTGGTCGCTGTCCAGCCAGACGTCGAACAGCGTGGACCAGCCGTCGTAATGGATCTGCGGAACCGCAGCCAATCATCACCCTTCGCTCTATGACATCACAAAGATGGTGGAAGGAAGCGTGCCGTACCTTCACCCTGTAGTCTTCAGTGTCTGTTACCGTGGCGACGCGCATCAACATGGGGTTCCTCCTGTCGACCGCCTCTAGTCTGTGGTTCAGCTTAAAGCCATGCGGAGCTCTCTGATTGGCCGAGGACACAGATGGAGCCGTCAGTCACTAGAAGCTCTCTGATTGTACTCCTGTCTGACCCCGCCCACTTCTCACCAGAGTGAACGCCGCGCCGGGAGCGGCCATGGAACCGGTTTCCTGCAGGTAGTCGTCCCACACAAAGTGCTCTGGACTGGGATGACCTGGAACCCAGAGAACAGGTACTCAGAGTACTACAGAGTCAGAGTACTGCAGAGTCAGAATACTACAGAGTCAGAGTACTACAGAGTCAGAGTACTACAGAGTCAGAGCACTGCAGACTCAGAGTACTACAGAGTCAGAGTACTATAGAGTCAGAGTGCTATAGAGTCAGAGTACTACAGAGTCAGAGCACTGCAGACTCAGAGTACTACAGAGTCAGAGTACTACAGAGTCAGAGTACTATAGAGTCAGAGTGCTATAGAGTCAGAGTACTACAGAGTCAGAGTACTACAGAGTCAGAGTACTACAGAGTCAGAGCACTGCAGACTCAGAGTACTACAGAGTCAGAGTGCTATAGAGTCAGAGTGCTATAGAGTCAGAGTACTACAGAGTCAGAGCACTGCAGACTCAGAGTACTACAGAGTCAGAGTACTATAGAGTCAGAGTACAACGCAGTCAGAGTACTGCAGAGTCAGAGTACTACAGAGTCAGAGTACTGCAGAGTCAGAGTACTACAGAGTCAGAGTACTACAGAGTCAGAGTACTACAGAGTCAGAGTACTGCAGAGTCAGAGTACTGCAGAGTCAGAGTACCATAGTCAAAGTACTGCAGAGTCAGAGTACTACAGGTACTCAGAGTACTACAGAGTCAGAGTACCATAGTCAAAGTACTGCAGAGTCAGAGTACTACAGAGTCAGAGTACTACAGAGTCAGAGTACTACAGAGTCAGAGCACTGCAGACTCAGAGTACTACAGAGTCAGAGTACTATAGAGTCAGAGTACAACGCAGTCAGAGTACTGCAGAGTCAGAGTACTACAGAGTCAGAGTACTGCAGAGTCAGAGTACTGCAGAGTCAGAGTACTGCAGAGTCAGAGTACCATAGTCAAAGTACTGCAGAGTCAGAGTACTACAGAGTCAGAGTACTACAGAGTCAGAGTACTGCAGAGTCAGAGTACTACAGAGTCAGAGTACTACAGAGTCAGAGTACTACAGAGTCAGAGTACTATAGAGTCAGAGTACAACGCAGTCAGAGTACTGCAGAGTCAGAGTACTACAGAGTCAGAGTACTGCAGAGTCAGAGTACTGCAGAGTCAGAGTACTGCAGAGTCAGAGTACCATAGTCAAAGTACTGCAGAGTCAGAGTACTACAGAGTCAGAGTACTACAGAGTCAGAGTACTACAGAGTCAGAGTACTGCAGAGTCAGAGTACTACAGAGTCAGAGTACTGCAGAGTCAGAGTACTGCAGAGTCAGAGTACCATAGTCAAAGTACTGCAGAGTCAGAGTACTACAGAGTCAGAGTACTACAGGTACTCAGGGTACTACAGAGTCAGAGTACCATAGTCAAAGTACTGCAGAGTCAGAGTACTACAGAGTCAGAGTACTACAGAGTCAGAGTACTGCAGAGTCAGAGTACTACAGAGTCAGAGTACTACAGAGTCAGAGTACTGCAGAGTCAGAGTACTGCAGAGTCAGAGTACCATAGTCAAAGTACTGCAGAGTCAGAGTACTACAGAGTCAGAGTACTACAGGTACTCAGAGTACTACAGAGTCTGAGTACTACAGAGTCAGAGTACTACAGGTACTCAGAGTACTACAGAGTCAGAGTACTGTAGAGTCAGAGTACTACAGAGTCAGAGTACTACAGAGTCAGAGTACAACGCAGTCAGAGTACTACAGAGTCAGAGTACTGCAGAGTCAGAGTACTAAAGAGTCAGAGTACTGCAGAGTCAGAGTACTACAGAGTCAGAGTACTACAGGTACTCAGAGTACTACAGAGTCAGAGTACTACAGAGTCAGAGTACTGCAGAGTCAGACTACTACAGAGTCAGAGTACTATAGTCAAAGTACTACAGAGTCAGAGTACTATAGATTTGGAGTACTATAAAGTCAGAGTACTACAGAGTCAGAGTACTATAGAGTCAGAGTACTATAGAGTCAGAGTGCTATAGAGTCAGAGTGCTACAGAGTCAGAGTACTATAGAGTCAGAGTACTACAGAGTCAGTGTACTACAGAGTCAGAGTACTGCAGAGTCAGAGTACTATAGAGTCAGTGTACTACAGAGTCAGAGTACTATAGAGTCAGAGTACTATAGAGTCAGTGTACTACAGAGTCAGAGTACTATAGAGTCAGAGTACTATAGAGTCAGTGTACTACAGAGTCAGTGTACTACAGAGTCAGAGTACTGCAGAGTCAGACTACTACAGAGTCAGAGTACTATAGTCAAAGTACTACAGAGTCAGAGTACTATAGATTTAGAGTACTATAAAGTCAGATTACTACAGAGTCAGAGTACTATAGAGTCAGAGTACTATAGAGTCAGAGTTCTATAGAGTCAGAGTACTATAGAGTCAGAGTACTATAGTCAGTGTGCTACAGAGTCAGAGTACTACAGAGTCAGAGTACTATAGAGTCAGAGTGCTATAGAGTCAGAGTGCTATAGAGTCAGGGTCCTATAGAGTCAGAGTACTATAGAGTCAGTGTGCTACAGAGTCAGAGTACTATAGAGTCAGAGTGCTATAGAGTCAGAGTACTATATAGTCAGAGTGCTACAGAGTCAGAGTACTATAGAGTGAGGGTGCTACAGAGTCAGAGTACTATAGAGTCAGAGTACTATAGAGTCAGTGTGCTACAGAGTCAGAGTACTATAGAGTCAGAGTACTATAGAGTCAGTGTGCTACAGAGTCAGAGTACTATAGAGTCAGTGTGCTACAGAGTCAGAGTACTATAGAGTCAGAGTGCTATAGAGTCAGAGTACTATATAGTCAGAGTGCTATAGAGTCAGAGTACTATAGAGTCAGAGTACTATAGAGTCAGTGTGCTACAGAGTCAGAGTACTATAGAGTCAGAGTGCTATAGAGTCAGAGTACTATAGAGTCAGAGTACTATAGAGTCAGTGTGCTACAGAGTCAGAGTACTATAGAGTCAGTGTGCTACAGAGTCAGAGTACTATAGAGTCAGAGTGCTATAGAGTCTGAGTACTATATAGTCAGAGTGCTACAGAGTCAGAGTACTATAGAGTGAGAGTGCTACAGAGTCAGAGTACTATAGAGTGAGGGTGCTATAGAGTCAGAGTACTATAGAGTCAGAGTACTATAGAGTCAGAGTGCTATAGAGTCAGGTGCTATAGAGTCAGAGTACTATAGAGTCAGAGTACTATAGAGTCAGAGTGCTATAGAGTCAGGTGCTATAGAGTCAGGTGCTATAGAGTCAGAGTACTATAGAGTCAGAGTACTATATAGTCAGAGTGCTACAGAGTCAGAGTACTATAGAGTGAGGGTGCTATAGAGTCAGAGTACTATAGAGTCAGAGTACTATAGAGTCAGGTGCTATAGAGTCAGAGTACTATAGAGTCAGAGTACTATAGAGTCAGAGTGCTATAGAGTCAGGTGCTATAGAGTCAGGTGCTATAGAGTCAGGTGCTATAGAGTCAGAGTACTATAGAGTCAGAGTGCTATAGAGTCAGGTGCTATAGAGTCAGAGTACAATAGAGTCAGAGTACTATAGAGTCAGGTGCTATAGAGTCAGAGTACTATAGAGTCAGAGTACTATAGAGTCAGGTGCTATAGAGTCAGAGTGCTATAGAGTCAGAGTGCTATAGAGTCAGAGTACTATAGAGTCAGAGTACTATAGAGTCAGAGTGCTACAGAGTCAGAGTACTATAGAGTCAGAGTGCTACAGAGTCAGAGTGCTATAGAGTCAGAGTACTATAGAGTCAGAGTGCTATAGAGTCAGAGTGCTACAGAGTCAGAGTACTATAGAGTCAGAGTACTATAGAGTCAGTGTACTACAGAGTCAGTGTACTACAGAGTCAGAGTACTGCAGAGTCAGAGTGCTATAGAGTCAGAGTACTATATAGTCAGAGTGCTACAGAGTCAGAGTACTATAGAGTGAGGGTACTACAGAGTCAGAGTGCTATAGAGTCAGAGTACTATAGAGTCAGAGTACTATAGAGTCAGAGTACTATAGAGTCAGGTGCTATAGAGTCAGAGTACTATAGAGTCAGAGTACTATAGAGTCAGGTGCTATAGAGTCAGAGTACTATAGAGTCAGAGTTCTATAGAGTCAGAGTACTATAGAGTCAGAGTACTATAGTCAGCGTGCTACAGAGTCAGAGTACTACAGAGTCAGAGTACTATAGAGTCAGAGTGCTATAGAGTCAGAGTGCTATAGAGTCAGAGTACTATAGAGTCAGGTGCTATAGAGTCAGAGTACTATAGAGTCAGAGTTCTATAGAGTCAGAGTACTATAGAGTCAGAGTACTATAGAGTCAGAGTGCTATAGAGTCAGAGTGCTATAGAGTCAGAGTACTATAGAGTCAGAGTACTATAGAGTCAGGTGCTATAGAGTCAGAGTACTATAGAGTCAGAGTGCTATAGAGTCAGGTGCTATAGAGTCAGAGTACTATAGAGTCAGAGTGCTATAGAGTCAGAGTACTATAGAGTCAGAGTACTATAGAGTCAGGTGCTATAGAGTCAGGGTACTATAGAGTCAGAGTGCTATAGAGTCAGGTACTATAGAGTCAGAGTACTATAGAGTCAGGTGCTATAGAGTCAGAGTACTATAGAGTCAGAGTGCTATAGAGTCAGAGTGCTATAGAGTCAGAGTACTATAGAGTCAGAGTACTATAGAGTCAGGTGCTATAGAGTCAGAGTACTATAGAGTCAGAGTTCTACAGAGTCAGAGTACTATAGAGTCAGAGTACTATAGTCAGCGTGCTACAGAGTCAGAGTACTACAGAGTCAGAGTACTATAGAGTCAGAGTGCTATAGAGTCAGAGTGCTATAGAGTCAGAGTACTATAGAGTCAGTGTGCTACAGAGTCAGAGTACTATAGAGTGAGGGTGCTACAGAGTCAGAGTGCTATAGAGTCAGAGTGCTATAGAGTCAGAGTGCTACAGAGTCAGAGTACTATAGAGTCAGAGTGCTATAGAGTCAGTGTGCTACAGAGTCAGAGTACTATAGAGTCAGAGTGCTATAGAGTCAGAGTACTATATAGTCAGAGTGCTACAGAGTCAGAGTACTATAGAGGGAGAGTGCTACAGAGTCAGAGTACTATAGAGTGAGAGTGCTACAGAGTCAGAGTACTATAGAGTGAGGGTGCTATAGAGTCAGAGTACTATAGAGTCAGAGTACTATAGAGTCAGAGTGCTATAGAGTCAGGTGCTATAGAGTCAGAGTACTATAGAGTCAGAGTACTATAGAGTCAGAGTGCTATAGAGTCAGGTGCTATAGAGTCAGAGTGCTATAGAGTCAGAGTACTATAGAGTCATAGTGCTATAGAGTCAGGTGCTATAGAGTCAGAGTACTATAGAGTCAGAGTACTATAGAGTCAGAGTGCTATAGAGTCAGGTGCTATAGAGTCAGAGTACTATAGAGTCAGAGTACTATAGAGTCAGAGTGCTATAGAGTCAGGTGCTATAGAGTCGGAGTACTATAGAGTCAGAGTACTATAGAGTCAGGTGCTATAGAGTCAGAGTACTATAGAGTCAGAGTACTATAGAGTCAGGTGCTATAGAGTCAGAGTGCTATAGAGTCAGAGTGCTATAGAGTCAGAGTACTATAGAGTCAGAGTGCTACAGAGTCAGAGTGCTATAGAGTCAGAGTGCTACAGAGTCAGAGTACTATAGAGTCAGAGTGCTACAGAGTCAGAGTGCTATAGAGTCAGAGTACTATAGAGTCAGAGTGCTATAGAGTCAGGGTGCTATAGAGTCAGAGTACTATAGAGTCAGAGTGCTACAGAGTCAGAGTGCTATAGAGTCAGAGTACTATAAAGTCAGAGTGCTATAGAGTCAGGGTGCTATAGAGTCAGAGTACTATAGAGTCAGAGTGCTACAGAGTCAGAGTGCTATAGAGTCAGAGTACTATAGAGTCAGGTGCTATAGAGTCAGAGTGCTATAGAGTCAGAGTGCTATAGAGTCAGAGTACTATAGAGTCAGAGTGCTACAGAGTCAGAGTACTATAGAGTCAGAGTGCTACAGAGTCAGAGTACTATAGAGTCAGAGTGCTACAGAGTCAGAGTGCTATAGAGTCAGAGTACTATAGAGTCAGAGTGCTATAGAGTCAGGGTGCTATAGAGTCAGAGTACTATAGAGTCAGAGTGCTACAGAGTCCGAGTACTATAGAGTCAGAGTGCTACAGAGTCAGAGTACTATAGAGTCAGAGTGCTACAGAGTCAGGGTGCTATAGAGTCAGGTGCTATAGAGTCAGAGTGCTATAGAGTCAGAGTACTATAGAGTCAGAGTGCTACAGAGTCAGAGTGCTATAGAGTCAGAGTGCTACAGAGTCAGAGTACTATAGAGTCAGAGTGCTACAGAGTCAGAGTGCTATAGAGTCAGAGTACTATAGAGTCAGAGTGCTATAGAGTCAGGGTGCTATAGAGTCAGAGTACTATAGAGTCAGAGTGCTACAGAGTCAGAGTGCTATAGAGTCAGAGTACTATAGAGTCAGGGTGCTATAGAGTCAGAGTACTATAGAGTCAGGTGCTATAGAGTCAGGTGCTATAGAGTCAGAGTACTATAGAGTCAGAGTACTATAGAGTCAGGTGCTATAGAGTCAGAGTGCTATAGAGTCAGAGTGCTATAGAGTCAGAGTACTATAGAGTCAGAGTGCTACAGAGTCAGAGTACTATAGAGTCAGAGTGCTACAGAGTCAGAGTACTATAGAGTCAGAGTGCTACAGAGTCAGAGTGCTATAGAGTCAGAGTACTATAAAGTCAGAGTGCTATAGAGTCAGGGTGCTATAGAGTCAGAGTACTATAGAGTCAGAGTGCTACAGAGTCAGAGTGCTATAGAGTCAGAGTACTATAGAGTCAGGTGCTATAGAGTCAGAGTGCTATAGAGTCAGAGTGCTATAGAGTCAGAGTACTATAGAGTCAGAGTGCTACAGAGTCAGAGTACTACAGAGTCAGAGTGCTACAGAGTCAGAGTACTATAGAGTCAGAGTGCTACAGAGTCAGAGTGCTATAGAGTCAGAGTACTATAGAGTCAGAGTGCTATAGAGTCAGGGTGCTATAGAGTCAGAGTACTATAGAGTCAGAGTGCTACAGAGTCAGAGTACTATAGAGTCAGAGTGCTACAGAGTCAGAGTACTATAGTCAGAGTGCTACAGAGTCAGGGTGCTATAGAGTCAGGTGCTATAGAGTCAGAGTGCTATAGAGTCAGAGTGCTATGGAGTCAGAGTACTATAGAGTCAGAGTGCTACAGAGTCAGAGTACTATAGAGTCAGAGTGCTATAGAGTCAGAGTACTATAGAGTCAGAGTACTATAGAGTCAGAGTGCTACAGAGTCAGAGTACTATAGAGTCAGAGTGCTATAGTCAGAGTACTATAGAGTCAGAGTGCTATAGAGTCAGAGTACTATAGAGTCAGAGTACTATAGAGTCAGAGTGCTACAGAGTCAGAGTACTATAGAGTCAGAGTGCTATAGAGTCAGAGTGCTATAGAGTCAGAGTACTATAGAGTCAGAGTGCTACAGAGTCAGAGTACTATAGAGTCAGAGTGCTATAGAGTCAGAGTGCTACAGAGTCAGAGTACTATAGAGTCAGAGTGCTATAGAGTCAGAGTACTATAGAGTCAGAGTACTATAGAGTCAGAGTGCTACAGAGTCAGAGTACTATAGAGTCAGAGTGCTATAGAGTCAGAGTGCTATAGAGTCAGAGTACTATAGAGTCAGAGTGCTACAGAGTCAGAGTACTATAGAGTCAGAGTGCTACAGAGTCAGAGTACTATAGAGTCAGAGTGCTACAGAGTCAGGGTGCTATAGAGTCAGGTGCTATAGAGTCAGAGTGCTATAGAGTCAGAGTGCTATGGAGTCAGAGTACTATAGATTCAGAGTGCTACAGAGTCAGAGTACTATAGAGTCAGAGTGCTATAGAGTCAGAGTACTATAGAGTCAGAGTGCTACAGAGTCAGAGTGCTATAGAGTCAGAGTGCTACAGAGTCAGAGTACTATAGAGTCAGAGTACTATAGAGTCAGTGTACTACAGAGTCAGTGTACTACAGAGTCAGAGTACTGCAGAGTCAGACTACTACAGAGTCAGAGTACTATAGTCAAAGTACTACAGAGTCAGAGTACTATAGATTTAGAGTACTATAAAGTCAGAGTACTACAGAGTCAGAGTACTATAGAGTCAGAGTACTATAGAGTCAGAGTTCTATAGAGTCAGAGTACTATAGAGTCAGAGTACTATAGTCAGCGTGCTACAGAGTCAGAGTATTACAGAGTCAGAGTGCTATAGAGTCAGAGTGCTATAGAGTCAGAGTACTATAGAGTCAGAGTACTATAGAGTCAGTGTGCTACAGAGTCAGAGTACTATAGAGTCAGAGTGCTATAGAGTCAGAGTACTATATAGTCAGAGTGCTATAGAGTCAGAGTGCTATAGAGTCAGAGTACCATAGAGTCAGAGTGCTATAGAGTGAGGGTGCTACAGAGTCAGAGTGCTATAGAGTCAGAGTACTATAGAGTCAGAGTGCTATAGAGTCAGAGTGCTATAGAGTCAGAGTACTATAGAGTCAGTGTGCTACAGAGTCAGAGTCCTATAGAGTCAGAGTACTATATAGTCAGAGTGCTACAGAGTCAGAGTACTATAGAGTCAGAGTACTATAGAGTGAGGGTGCTATAGAGTCAGAGTGCTATAGAGTCAGAGTACTACAGAGTCAGAGTGCTACAGAGTCAGAGTACTATAGAGTCAGAGTGCTACAGAGTCAGAGTACTACAGAGTCAGAGTACTGTAGAGTCAGAGTACTATAGAGTCAGGTGCTATAGAGTCAGAGTACTACAGTCAGAGTACTGTAGAGTCAGAGTACTATAGAGTCAGAGTGCTATAGAGTCAGAGTACTGCAGAGTCAGGTACTATAGAGTCAGAGTACTGCAGAGTCAGAGTACTACAGAGTCAGAGTACTACAGAGTACATGTGCTTAAAGCTGCAGGTTCGGCTGACGTACCCTGGGGGGCGGTCAGAGGTCGGCCATGTTCTTCACACCAGCCCACAGGATGGATGTACGGACTGCTGCTGTCGCACCTGAAGGACCAACAAACACCGAGGCAGACGTCAGCCCTGAACATCAGTGAGCGGAACAGAAACGGCTGCAGCGCCCCCTGCTGACCAACTCTAACACTGCAGCTAACCCATAATCCATCTGTCCGTCTCACCAGTAGTCGTACGTGTCGTCCCAGTTGTCGAAGTGAACCAGGAAGCGTTCCTCAACCACGTCGGCCACGGACGCCACACAGACCAGCCCGGGGTTCTTCTTGTCCACCGCCTCCAGCTTCATCCCCACCTGGAACGCACAATCCTGACAGACAGACGGACGTCAGCTGGACGCAGACAGGTAAAGGACGTAACCCGCCGGGCGTTCCCTCACCGTGGAGCGGCGGGTGAACAGGGAGGCCGGGGCGGCGTGGGACCCTGTCGACTGGAGGTAGTCCTGCCAGTCGAACTCCGCCTCGCTCTGACCTACGGGCAGACAGACGGACGGATACGGTTACCTGGAACGGAGGCTCACCTGGACGGCAGCCAGCTTCCTGTTCTCACCTTTGGGTGGGTGGAGCTTGTGGCTGTGCTCTTTACACCAGCCGGCAGGTTTGATGTCTGCAGAATCCGCATTTACCCAGAAGTCATAGCACTCCGAGTAACCGTCGATGTGGAGCCGCAGCCGACAGCCAATCACCTGAGGGGGGAGACACATGTCCTCATGTCCTCACGTCCTCCCTCGCTGCCGTCAATGTGTGTGTGTGGCGTTACCTCGGCGACTGTCAGCACGCAAAACATGGAGGGATGCAGCGGGTCGACGCCTTCCAGCTTCATGCCCGCTTTGAAGGCCGCTCTCCTGCTGGGGAAGGACTGTTCCTGGGAGGCAGACAGGTGGCGGTCAGTGGGCGTGGCCCGCCTGTCGCCGCCCGGCGGCGCTCTGCGTGTTTCTCACCTGCGTGAAGACAGAGGGCGGAGCCGCCTCGGCTTTCTGCTCGTTCAGGTACTGCTGCCAGGACCAGGACCGCCTCTTCACGCTCACTGCGGACCAGAACCGACCCGTCCGATTCCCATCAGCCTGATGATGGTGATGATGATGATGATGAAGACCTTACCTTGAGTGCTGCTGACTTTGTTCTTCATCTCCTCCTCCTCTTCCTCTTCTGTTCGGTTCGGTCCACACCGAATCAAACGCGACCTCTTCTTCTTCTCTGCAACATATGGATGACATCATGACCTCATGACGCCATGCTGCTGCCCTCTAGCTGCCACACCCAGAACATCCTGCAGGACCTGTCAGAACCAGAGTCTGGGTCCAACAGAACCTTCCAGAACCATCAGGTGTGGCTCTGTCCTGCTGACATGGACCAGAACGGTTACCATGGTGATCCATCAGAGTCCCAGTCTGGGTCTGATCAGAACCGGATTCTGCTGTGAGGCTGACTGTCCTCCTCTGCAGGGACAGATTAGGATTATTAATCTGATCGATCAGCTGCTTGATGAACAGACTCCTGATCCGGAACCAGGTTCTGATCCAGAACCAGGTTCTGGATCAGCTTTGGATCGGTACCGTCACTGATTCCACTGAACTAAAACTAACACAGGAAGTCAGCAGCCGGACCTTCAGAGTAAAAGCCCAGAGGACCAGAACTGGGCCTTTATTCAGAACCCACAGACAAACTGGATCTTCTGGTGACACTGAACCAGAACCTCCGGCTGGTTCCGAACCTCAGAGGGTCAGCTGAGAACAGCAGCGGACCGGAACCGATCGAGCGGCTCTTATTGTGAAGGCAGAGCGGAAGTGAAGCCAGCCTGTCTGCTCGGTGATTGATAGGAGAGAAGAATCAGGTGGAGATCTGCGGCTCCGAGGCCGGCGGATCGGCCGCAGGGCCCGGTTCGGCCTGCCGGACCCATCCGGACTCACGAGCCGCTAAACTGGACCCACTGAGCCCAGAGGAACCGGAACCGGAACCAGGATTATGGGCTAAACTTACCAACTGGGATGATCCGCGTCACTTCGCTGAAACAGAACAACACGGAAACTGGAGGCTGGGAGGGAACTGCGCATGCGCAGCAGGGGGAGGGGGAGGAGAGTGGGAGGGGGGGTTTGATGGATGGAGCCAATCAACCAATCAGAGGATCAGATCTTTCACACCACAGAAAGATAGTAATGAAAAACCTATAAGATAAACATTAAAACTTAAAAGAGAAATTTTAAACAAGTAAATGATCCGTTTCCTGAAAGCAGGGACATTTTTATTTAATAAAGAAATAAATGTAAAACATTTTAACTGTCTAAGCACACATAGATTTTTATATTAACCTTTTTTTAGAGTCCCTTCTGTAAAGTCTGTGCTCTCTCTATGCCGATGTAATCACAGAATGAATCCCATGTTTTGTAAAATAACAGGTTTGACCTAAAGCCAGGAGGTCATTTCCTCCAAGGGGATTAGTTCCTAAACACTCTGCAACCTCTGGGAAAGCGTATGTTTATCAGAGGTCCATGAACACACCGTCTGACATTAAACAGAAGAACATCTAACCATCTCTGCATGTCAGAATTTAAGTTCAGGTCAGGATGTAAACCAAGCAGGCAGGACAGTGGGATTAGGTCCAGATCCTTACCAAATATGATAGATATTTCTTTACAGATCAGAAATGTTTAATGAGGGGCAGTCAAAGATGCAATGGTAGCGTGATCCCTCTGAGATCTGCATTTATTACAGTATTTTAAAAGTGTGGGGTTAAATTTATTCCTAATATTGGTGTAATCTGGAGCCTAGGGCAGATTTTAGATTGTTGTTCTATAGTTTTATTGGTGGACAAGCAGCCAGGAGAAGTGATCCACACATCACCCCACCTTCCATCTGATGTCCCCAGATCAGCCTCCCAGAGCAGTTTAAGATGACCTGCGTCCTCAGCTGATGGGGGGGGGGGGCAGAGCACCATATAAGCTCGTCTTCTATAGAAGAGTGAGAGAACCCAGCACCTTGCTTTGAAGATATAAAACTACAGACCTGCAGAAAGCTAAACAGGTGACTGGAGGGGAGGTCGCATTGATCAGTTAGCTGGTTAAAGGATCTGATGTTCCATCAGCTACCAGGTCTCTAATTGCACAGATACCATGTTCTGGATTTTAATGTGAAAAAGTGACGATTGCTAAATGATCAAATGAGTTATTGTTTTTTACTCTAATCATGGAGGAATCAATAAAAGTATTTTTATTTGTTCCTGGGGGCCTCCTAGTCGCCCCACTTTGCTTTGCCTTGGGCCGGTGTTCCATCAGACCAGCATACCCCGTCAGACCAGCATACCCCGTCAGACCAGCATATCCCGTCAGACCAGCATACCCCATCAGACCAGCATACCCCGTCAGACCAGCATACCCCATCAGACCAGCATACCCCGTCAGACCAGCATACCCCATCAGACCAGCATACCCCATCAGACCAGCATACCCCGTCAGACCAGCATACCCCATCAGACCAGCATACCCCGTCAGACCAGCATACCCCATCAGACCAGCATACCCCATCAGACCAGCATGGACTGAGAGATTATTGCACTTTATTTAAACAGAATCTTGTCTCCAGAGAGGATTAATAATCTAACAGATTCTGCTAATTCTACGATTATGAGACTTGGTTAGATGGACGCAGAGTTTTTAATCTAGACCACCAGAGAAAAGACCTGATAGCCTGGTCTGTTGACGATTCGAGTCGAGTTTCTCCAGGTCCTGCGCTGACAGGAACCCTTTGGTCTGTGGATGTTTTCAAGATGGCAGAATTCCTCTGGGTTCTGGACCGGTCCTGGACTTTAATGTGGTTCAGAAACAGTGCCAGTCCGGGTTCTGGTGGGCGTCTCTTTGCAGACCTCAGAACCTGTTAGAAAGCAAACCAGTCTCCCTCTGTTTGTCCTGGTTAGGGTTAGGTTAAGGTCAACCCTTGGACCTGGAAGTGGAGCCAGAACGTGTCTTCAGCAGAACTTTTCCTGATGTTCTGACAGGATTTCTTCCAGAAGGTTTTATTGGAATCTCAGTCTGGCTCTGGATGTTATTTATAAAATCCTCTCCAACGTCACACCAGTAAAACCCAAACCAGTCCAGCTGTCCAACACTCCCAGTCTGAGCTGAGTCCAGCTGTCCAACACTCCCAGTCTGAGCTGAGTCCAGCTGTCCAACACTCCCAGTCTGAGCTGGGAGCTCCTGGTGCTCCTCCTCCTCCCCCTCCTCCCTCCCCTTGTCTCCTCTCAGAGGCGATGAGCAGCCGGACTGAGAGGAGGTGAGTTCTGCCTGTTCTGTTTCTATGTTCTAGATAAACACCAGTATTTTTCAGCACTCTGGTTTCCTACAGAGCAGCACTTCTGTGATGTTTTTCTGTGGTTCTGGTCGGCTGAAGGATCCGGTTTGGACCGGACTTGAACCTGCTCTTATGCAGCTATGGGTCCAGGTTTAGTCCTGGATCTGGGGCAGGAACTTATTTCAACGTCCGCTCCATCCAGGGACCATGTAGAAACTGGATCTCATGAAACGTTCCTGTTCAAATGAATCAAAATGAAACGAATCTGTTTGGGATTGAATGGTTTTTGGTTCCTTTGTTCTGCTGGTTCTGGTTTGGAACTGAACCGTCTTATTGAGCCAAACTTAACTTTAGTCCAGCAGAACTTGGATCCAACTTGGAACCAGATTTCATGGGTTCTAGAAGCATCATCTGAGGTTGGATGGAGGTGGTCTTCAGAGCAGACCAGGTGAATCCAAAGTGTCCAAATGTCTTCCCCAACAACAGGAAGCTTCTTTAGACAATCTGAGAGGTTCTCCTGGTTTGGGGAAGATATAGGAACCATTTAGGGAAGTTTAGTAGAAATCATTGAGATCAAACGGGCTGTAGATGGTTTAACACGGCTGGTTCTGTAAGATCTTCCACACCTTAGCTTGGAACCTGAAACACTGTGATGGCAAAGTTTTATACCAGAGGTAACCATTTAAAAATCCTTTGGGGTCGAACTAAAGAAAACTATCAACCAGTAAAGGTCCAGGAACATGTTTAATTATAATCTGGTACTTTATTTAACACTGAAATAAGATGAGTTGTTTATGCATCCATGTTTTACATTGAATTTTTAAATAAGAAAATAGAAAATTCTTCCGTTTCAAAATTTAAAGTGTTTTTTGAAGTAGAGAACAACAATCATTCACTTTGGTATAAAGATAATTTCCTGATTCACATATTTTATAAAACACCTGAACTGACCGGACCGCAGTCTGCTGCTGACCTCTGCTTTAGGTGGTACCAGAAAGTTCCATCAGGCGGTTCTAGGGACACTTTTACTCGTTAAAGAGTCTTCTTGAGAGAGTTTACCTCCAAACCTGAAGAGTCTTGATTGGTGGCTCTACTCTGGTCCTCAACGTTTCCCAGTTAAAGAACACCTAATGTGAATTAAAGACGAGTGACACGACTGGTGGTGCGAGTAACTGCCGCCACCAGCTCAGAGACACCTCACCCGTACTCACAGCCGCGCACTGGTGATGCTTTACTATGTGACGGTTCACAATCACCATGTCCAGCAGGTCTTCTGCGACCACGACTTCCTGTATAAAAGCTGTAGGGGGCGCTCATGCAGTGTCCGTTGACGTCACATCCGTAGGAATGCCGGGTAATTGGACCCGGACACAGCCTGTTGAAGGCAAAGGACAGATACATGGGTTGGCTCGTTGGTTTTTGTTTTTAATGCTTTATCGCTAATTAGCATAGAAAAACTAGACTCCCAAATCTATTCTTTCACTATACCAGCCTCTAGTTTTCTTAATTACCAGGCTTTGCTGAACCAGGTCTTTTATGCATTGAGGAGCAGGTTTAAAACACTTTTCAGGGACACAGGTGTCCAACTCCTCTCCTCTAGGACGAGTCCTGTATAACTTTTGGAAGAAGTGCTTTAGGACCCCTGAATCAAAGAATTAGGCCACTAGCAGGACTCTTGAGAACTTAGGTACATCTAAAGAAAGCAAATCGGTAAGGACATGAAGCCAAAGTGCATCAGCAGACGCCATGATAAGAGCTGTCCAAATAGTGCTGACAGTCAGGGAAAGGAGTGGAGGCTAGGAAGAGGAGGTAGGAGCTACAATTTGCACAATTGAAAATGAGGGCTTGACTGAAGGTACTTCCACCTTTTGATGGAGGTGTCTGGGACCAGGGATACATCTAAAGATTGCAGGAAACTGGGACTTGAAGATTGGAGTTTGCCACCGAGTCTTGGAGGGTTTCTTGTTGAAGACCAGAGATGGCAAAAGTACTCACTTTCCGTACTTGAGTAAAAGTACAGATACTTGTGTTAAAAAATACTCTGGTAAAAGTGGAAGTACTGATTAAACTTCTTTACTCAAGTAAAAGTAACAAAGTACAGGCTTGTAAATTTACTTAAAGTATAAAAGTAAAAGTAGAAACCACTTTTTTCATGCCGTTGCCTACATTTTAAATGGATGTCTGCCAATAGGACTAGATCTCCGTTGTGTTCATTTTCAATCATCTCATCGTCCATGCTACTATGCTAACGCCACCGCCACCAAGCTGCAATGATTTGCCGTGAATGAATACCGCCGAATCTGTCGATTCATCTTGTAGTGGTGCGTCAAATGCAACGTAGATTCCCATCCAATTAGATTGAATTTGGTATTGATGACGTGAAAAATAATAACTGTAACTCCATTGAAATGATTCAAAACTAAAGTAACGAGCCAATTTTAAAAAATGTAAGGAGTAGAAAGTACAGATATTTGTGTAAAAATGTAAGGAGTAAAAGTAAAAAGTCGCCATAAAAATAAGTAGTAAAGTAAAGTAAAAATATCAGAAAAATCTACTTGAGTACAGTAACGAAGTATTTGTACTTCGTTACTTCCCATCTCTGTTGAAGACACACATTTTGGGACACAACCCCACTAATAGGAACCCTTTGGGCTGCTTTTAGAGAGCTTTCAGATGGTTCTGGATATAATTATTTGGCTCCAGATAGGTGGATCTCCATCCTTGTCCTTGGGACCTGCATCTTTTAGACGTCTCTCAAGAAATGATCGGATGACCTTCTCATCAACCACCAATTGTCTGTTTACCACTTTTGGTGTATGGCAGCAAGGAGGCACCATAGACAGGCAGGACAGAGATCCCCGGGCGGTTCTAGAGTACCCAACAAAAGTAAGGAAATATCTTCTGTCGATGAAACTGCTAAACTCTGGAATCTGGAGTTGTTTTGATCCTCAAAGTCCTGCCTGGATGTCATCTGATCCAACTGAGTGTAAAGAGCAACTTCAGAGCCACTGAGGAAGCTTTATGGATGCTTAGCATGAGTGCACAAGTTTGTCTATGAGAGGTCCTTCAGACGACAGAGTCCCCGACCCGGACTTAACCAGTCAGAGTCTAAACTCAGCCCCTCAAATCAGTGGGGACGTCAGGGATCTACTCTGATGTAAAGAAGTTCCAAACTGAAATGTTTCAGCTGATTTAACACGTGTCTGCTGAACAATAACCAGGTCTGATTACTATCCGAGGACCTGAGTGAAAACACTTATCTCTGATTGACCAGCAGTGTCCATTTCCTCTTAATGGACACAAAGCAGCAGCAGCAAACTTCAGTCTGAGCATCCCATTCTGTCTTCCCCTGGGAACCAAAACCATTAGCTTAAGGTTCCTGACACACACACACACACACACACACACATAGGAACACAAACAATATCAGCCATCAATAGCTGGAAGAACCTGACTTCCTGTCAAATGCTTCATGAATATTTAAGTGAAGCTTAACTCTGGGCTGCAGAAGCCACAAACTCTGAACACAGATGTGAAGCCACAGCCTAGAAACCAGACTTCACACCTTGGGGTCCAGACCCCTTCTCCTAGGACAGGAAGCCAGACCTCATAGCTTCAGGTCCGGGCTTGGTCTCCTAGAGTCAGAGCTTCACTCTTAGCAGCAGAAGTACATGTCCTCGTACCTTCCAGTTAAGACATCTTCTGTAACCTACTCTGAGTGATACCTGCTTGCAAAAGTTTCAATAAACTCATCATTCTGCTTCATTCTATCTCTATTCTCCCACTCTGCAGAATCTATTAGTTCAATCTCTAACATTCTGCTCTCTCTGCTTTTTCTCATAGTAGCTTCATCTCCTTTCTCCACAGGATGTTGTCATCTCATTCTGCTACCTTTGTATCCACCTCCTCAAGCCACCCTCCACCTCACCCAGTGACCTCTGACTCCCGAAAAGTTACCATGGAAACCTACTGGAGAGAGGTCCAGAGCATCGAAGAGGAGCAGGAGGGGGAAGAAGAGGAGGAAGAAGAGGAGGAGAGTAAAAGTTTAGATGGTGAGTCAAACTGGGCTCAGGGTGGGACCTCGACATCTTGCGTGTGTCCTTTACGTCTTTATTTCATATAGAGGTGGAGTTGGAGGAGGCGTGGCTGACGGAGGCGGGGTTATCCTCGCTGCTCGTAGACTCTGCATCCACAGAGGCTCCACCTGTGGCGGAGGCCGTGCTGTCCACGTTGACGCGGCAACAAGCCGCCACGGTCAAAAAGAGGCTGGACAACTACAATGAGACACTGAGGAAAAGAAACAGGCAGCCAATCAGAGACGTGCGTGATGTCTTCACAGAGGTGGGACATAAGGAACATCCCCAGGTGTGTTTAATCAAACCAGAGAACCTGAAGGAGTATCATCTGTTTCAGCCTGATGGGGACGCCGCAGTCCACTGCAGCCCGTTCCCAACCCAACGTCATCCGGAGTCACCGCCAAGGAGGTACCACACCACCACCAAGACCATCCGCCGCAGCACTAACAGAGGTACTGCTCAGTCTACACACTGAAGGTCTCCGTTTGCAGGTCCTTCTGGCATTCTGCAGTTAGTTCAGGTGAGTTAGTTCAGGTCAGTTAGTTCAGGTCTAGCTTAGCAGCCAGAAAGGTGCTGGTTTTCCACAGCCTTTCTGGAACAGTTGTCTTCAAGTCTTTTAATGGAGACTGAATAAGTTTTATTAGCCACAAAGATGCTTCAGTCTCTCTTGTTGATGTACTTGTGAATGAGATGATGTGAACATTGGTCATTGATCTTTTTATTGTACGGACCGATCTATTTGGAAATCCTCCGTGTCTCCTAGTTACATGGAAAGACTTGTATTCGTGGTCTTCCACTCATCCAGGACTGAGCTGCAGGCACAGCAATCCCAGCAGAGATTAGCAGACCTCTCTCTCCCTGGACATCTCCTGTATGTCCATTCGGGAGTGGTGGTCTAGTGGTCAGGGCATAGAGGTTGAAATCCTGAGGTTCTGAATTCGAGCCCCACTCCGACAGACTGCCACTCTGCGTCCCTGAGCAAGACCCTTAACCCCACACTGCTCCTTGGGCGCCGCACAGTGGCAGCCCACTGCTGCCCAAGGGGAGGGGTTAAAGGCAGTGCAATATGCTGGTGAAGATTCTCAGTCATTCAGGCCATAGTCATTCCAAAAAAGTAAAATCAATCCTCTGGACTTTGTTTCCAAGTTTGAAGACGTTTCTCTTCCATCCAGGAAGATTTTTCAATTTAAAATGTCAGAAATAGCGTTTAGTTCCAGGTTTTATCCAGCAGCCCAACAAAGCCTGGTTTTAGTTTAGAAAACATGCAAATAGAAACGGATGAACGGGTCCCCCCCTTTGGAATGGGGGTCGTTTGGCTTCTTTGTTAGCCTGCAATGCCCCATACCTGTCTATGTCTCTGAAAGGGATGGTCATTAAAGGGAAGCATTCAAAGCAACAGCTAGATTATTCAGTTATCTCTCTAAGCTTTGATTTTGTCTCAGAATCAAGTTAGGTTCTGGGTCTTGGATGCCATTCATAGCACCTTTATGTTCCTTTAGACCAGGGGTCACTAACTTAGTTCCTGCGGGCACCAAAGGGCCCTCAAGGACCACACGGGGTGCCCTCCGAGTCTTCGGAGTTTGAAATTGGTCTTCTTATTCATCATTTATAGAACCATTGTAGTTCATGGGTCAGTATTGGTAGCCCTGCCATGACTCAGTGCCCTTGAAGTGGCCCCTCAGCGCTATGGACAGTGGAAACATGCAAGAGGAGGAGAGTTTAGTGTCGGAGGTCGTGGATGAGTCTCCTCCGTCATCCATTTTTTATTTAGAGGAGGAAAGCGGGGACGAAGATGTTGTGGAAGAGGACGCCAGGGCGGCAGAAGCTTGGTTTGGTGTAGAAGGCTTCCAGCCGAACATGTTTGAGCCCTTGCCTCGCAACGCTGCCAGTTCTGTTAGCTCTACGCCTGCCGAAGACACAGACGTCCATCCCCGTGAACACTGGGACGCAACTCAATGGGAAAGGAAATGAAAAGTTTTAATGAAATTGTTTAATGAAACATTGTGGAATATTCTGTTTTGTGTCACATCTGGTTCTGTTAGGAGGCTCTCAGCTGGTTTTTATCAGACGGTTCTGGTGGTTCTGTTGTTCAAGATGCTGCTGATTGTTACCGTTTACAGGACGGTCCACTCTTCCCCTGTCTACATTTGAGGACCAGCTACCTGAAGACCCGTCATCCCCCGCACTCACCCCCTCCCCCTCCACTCCAAGCACCTTCCCTTCAGAGGCGGGACGGCTGAGGTGTGCTGACTGGTTACTGAGGGACACTCCTTACTCTGAAGGCGTAGCTGAGCACAAACAGGGCGGGACTTGTAAGGATTGTGCTTGTTTCCATGGAGATGAGAACAGTGAACTGCAGGTAAGTGCACCTGTTCCTCTGCATCAGGACCGGCTGGTCAGGAACCTGATGGTTTTCTGCTGATGTGTGTTTGCAGTTCGCTCCAGTCTCTCCGTCATACGGTCTCACCTGTTCAGATGACCTGTCAACCCGTGACCTCACCAGGCTAGGCTTCATCTCTCGCATCGAACTCTCCACCTTCCTGGCGGCTATGGGAGTCCAAATAAAGCGCACCCGGCCACCACACAGAAGAACTCGGGGTGCGCTTCATTTTTACGTCACGGTTTAAACACACAGAGCCCAGTCTAGCCCTCAGCGGGCTGACATGGTTCAGATCCCAGAAATCCTCAGGTCTGCCATCTTAGATCAGGAAAATCAAAAGCTGTTTTTCAATCTGTGCGTCCTCGTGAAACGTCATCATCCTCAGCCCTAGCACTGTTCCAATTCACTAAAACAAGCAGACCGAGAACAAAGCCCCCGGATGTTGTTCTGGCCCCTCCCTCTTTACCCAGCATGCATCAGGGCAGACTTGTCCGTCCTCCAGACTGACAGCTGTCCCAGCATGCACTGCGGCAGCAGCAGCTTCCAGGTTAGCGCTAACAGAGCTTAGAGGATTAAGTTCAAAGTTCTATTTTCTGTTGCTGTTGTTCAATAAAAGTAAGTTTTATGATCATTTGAGGCGAGAATATTATACTTTAAGCTTCACTATATGGAACATTTACTGATTTAATGCATAATAAAAAAAAAAATTTCCGAGGGTAAACGGCAGCCAGCTATGCAGAGAGGGCCAGGGCTAACGCTAGCCCGTCTGCATTAGCCGGGGCTAACGTTAGCCCGTCTGCATTAGCCGAGGCTAACGTTAGCCCGTCTGCATTAGCCAGGGCTAACGTTAGCCCGCCTGCAGCAGCCAGGGCTAACGTTAGCCCTTCTGCAGCAGCCAGGGCTAACGTTAGCCCGTCTGTAGCAGCCAGGGCTAACGTTAGCCCTTCTGCCCTCACACTAAGCATGCTTGTAGGTAACCTTTGAGCATGAGGAAGATCTGTCGTTAACATGAACAAACTGAATTCGATCAGGTAGATTTAAACCATCTAGAACTGTTCCTTTAATTCCAACAAAATATTCAAGGTTCAAACCTCGTGGTTTTTCTCCACAGACAGACTGAGCTTTGGTTCCTTCTGCTTCAGGAACTAGTGGAACATGGAACCATTTTCCAGGCGATCAGATGTAGATCAGCTAAAACAGGAAGTCAAAGTTTTTTCACTCCCTTTAAAACATTTCTGTTCTAGATTAGGCTATGATGGAGTGCGACTCTGTCTGCTGATGTTCTAGATGTTTTTCTCCTAGATGCGCTGATCCAGTTCTCTGGTGCTCTTCAGCAGGTGTTCTGCATGTTCTAGATGCCTTTGTTGAACATGCAGGCATACTAAAGAGCTAATGCTGAAGCTGTAATAGATCTGAAACAGGTAGATTTCTCCCTCTAGTCAGATCCTTATTCTCCTTAGACCAACCAAGGGTGTGACGGCTGGCGTAGCTTCGTCCAGTTTAAGGCCAGCCTGTCCCTCAGTGGAGGTTCAGTACAAGTGACTTTTCTGTCTTCTGTCCATCAGACAGCGGCGTGTTCGGTGTCTCTCTGAACTCTCTGTTGGACAACGACAGGAAGACGTTTCCTGGAGTCAAAGTTCCTGTCTTCTTCCAGAAGGTGAAGAATCTGTCTGTTGGAAACCTTCAGGGCCTGATGGCCGCTTCTTTAACGCTGCATCAGTATTTATAGGTTCAGATCAGCAGCTGAAACATTGCAATAGAAACGGTGGTTAGCAGCAAGCAGCGACGGAACAGCCGGCGGCGCTGGAGATGATTTAAACCTCAGAGCAGCTGTCTGTCTCTCTGCTTCTCTCTCTAGTTGCTGGGCGTCTTGGAGCAGAGCGCTCTGCAGACGGAAGGAATCCTTCGGGTCCCAGGATCCGCTGCCAAACTGAAGGTAACTCCCGCCCCCGTCATTCCAGGGAACGGCATTGACTGACCGACACTGAACTTTGAACACAGATTGATCACCAAGTGGTCCTTTCCAGGAACATGTCATCAATCTGCACCTCTAGAGGATGTAGACCCCCTGCTGGTTCCCAGAACCAGACCGTACGGGATGTCTATAGATGGGAGTATTGACCCAGTGGTTAGAGTCCAACAGACTGCCACCCTGGGTCCCTGAGCAAGACCCTTAACCCCAGACTGGGAGCTGCAGCCCACTGCCCCCCAGCGGATGGGTTAAATACAGAGAGGGAATGTTGTTGCTCTGTCCTCGTGACAGTGTGAGGCCAATCAAAGTTGTAAAGATGGCCGACACGCTTGGAACATCAGAGCAGCTCCTGATGCTTCATCTCTGTCCTACATTAGTCAGACGTCCAGAAAAGTGAGTCCAGATGCGTCTGATGCTTATTGATGGTGAGATGAAGCCTCATTGGAGCTTCATGTGAAAATGTCACCACCTACTGGAGGAGTGAAGAACTACAGTTAGTGATAGAATCCGCGATTTTTTTTGCAATTGCTTTTCTTTCCTACGGAAGAGGATTAGGGCCAGTGGAAAAAAAAAAGTTAACAGATTTTTATATTTTATTTCAGTTTAACATGGGAAAAAAGTCAGAATTCTGAGTTTTTTCTGAGTTTTCTCCCATCCTAAACTGAAATAAAATTTAAAAATCAGTTAACTTTTTTTTTTTTCCACTGGCCCTAATCCTCTTCCGTATTTTCCCCATTTAAGTTCCTACTCACCAAAAAATTATGGGTGTGTTTCATCAAAGTTTTTTAAAAAGTTTTTTTTGTGTAAAATGTCTTAGAATAAAACAATCATTTAAGCTTCACAGTTTTTCTGCCAGTTTATTGAAATAAGCTCAAGCAGACAGTGAAAGTGTGCAAATCGTGCAACGATAAGCAAAATGAAAGGTTTAGGTCATTTTATTCACAGTTTTGTTTTTTATCTGGTTGGAAGTTAAGTGTTCAACCAATCATTTGGTTAAATCAAACCAATCGCAACCTTCAAAAGTCTGATGTGGGACTTAAACCAACAACCTCAGGAGTGGAAGTCCATCTCTTACAGCTGATGCCACTACCAAGATGGCAGCTATCAGAAAGCAACACTAGTTAAAACCCATTAATCTGTAACCAGTGGCTCGCTCTCATTTTGATCGTTACATTATTTAATGTAAATAAACTAGTTTCCACCAAATAGATTGGTTGTTTTTCCAACCAATCTATTCGTAGAATCTATCCAGCAGCAGCTCTCCTCCAAACTCCCACTTCTTGCCTGAACACTGAGGCTGTTTAAATGTCTGCTGGACTTACAGGCGACCTGAACCACTTCCTGAAGCGGTCACATGGTACGGCGTTAGCCAGGCTTCTGACGCCATCTATTTAGGCTCCTCCCCCAAATGAAGCAAGCCTGGATACGCGCCTCAGAGCCTCGGCTCCTCACAGGGAGCAGCAGCTGGAGCAGCTGGAGCGCGTCACGCGCCTCAGCCATGTTTCAGTGCTTTTTCCCGCCGTGTCTCCGGTCCGTCCCATCCCACCTCCTCCGTTTCTCCTCTGTCCTCCTGCAGTACCTGCGCAGGGAGCTGGACAGGTGCTGGAGCATCTTTGACTGGTCTGAAGTTCGCCCGGTGGACGCCTCCGGACTGCTGAAGCTCTTCATCAGGGAGCTGCCGACGCCCCTGCTGACCAACGCGCACCTGTCCACGTTCTGCTCCCTGCTGGGTGCGTGCCCGATCATTCACAGGTAGGTCAGAGGTCAGCCCGCCCTCCCAGCTGATCTGTTGCCTTTCCTCCCTGCAGCCGTGTCCTCTGAGGTCCATCAGGTCCAGGCTCTGCAGCTGCTTCTGCTGCTTCTTCCTGAAGCCCACAGAAACACCCTCAAGGTAAATTCCACCTTTAGACCCCATCGTTCCACCTTAAATCTGCACAGCCATGCTCAGTGAAGGTGTTTCCATGGTTACAGGCCCTGCTGGTCTTCCTTCGTAAGGTGGTCTCCCATCAGGACCACAACCGAATGTCTCTGTGGAATGTCTCCATGGTGATGGCGCCCAATATATTCACTCGCCGTAACCGTGGAAATAAACGCTCCATTAGCAAGCAGCGGGGTGAGATGGAGGAGGCGGTGGGCGGAGCTCACCTGATCGGACTCATGATCCGCCACCAAGACCTGCTGTGGACCGTGAGTCTCAGAACCCGTGCGGGTCCTACTGGTGTCCCACCAACTCTGACATCACTTCCTGTTTCCTCCCTCAGGTCCCAAAGTTTCTTCTGTCCCAGGTGAGACAGATGAACCAGGCGTCCAATCACAGACAGTTTAACCTGAGCAGGGCGACGTCCCGCCTCCTGAGGAGGAGGAACGAGAAGAACGACAGGAACCAGGTGAGTTCCTGGACCGGAACCGGAGGGGACAGGCTGGACCTGGGGGGACGTCCTGACCGTCCAGACCAGGAGAACCAGGAACGTTCTTCCTGCAGATTTATGTTCAAAGGGATTCTAATATCTAGCCTATACGCATAAATAAAGCTGTATATATATATATATATAAAACTCCTCTATACATCATAATACTCGTTATCAAAGAGTAATCCTTAAAATACTGAATATTAATACTATACTCTATAAATATAACATTTCTTTACTGCAGTCTGTGTGACACATGCTGATGCAGAAAAGATCTAGAAATAAGTAAAAAATGTCTTTAATCGTATTTACCCTTAATTTAAGCAGAAAAATAAGATAATTAGATCAAATACACGTAAAATATGACAAAAAAATAATTTTAAATGTAAATAGTCTTAGGTCTAACTTTCCTCCTCAGTTTAAGAAAAAACGACTTTAGATTTTTTCACTTCTGTTCACACCTTCTGGGTTTCATAAAGCAGAGCCTCAGCTACTCGCTACTTTTCTCCACATTCTGTTTTGTTTTATTGTAGTTTTTATTTTTTCCCAGAAGGCCGCAGTCCTGTGTGTGTCTGTTATAAAACGGCTGCAGGCCGTCGGCCCTGGATGGAGCTCTAACTGTGGGCCCTGCAGAAGGTGAAAGGAATCATTCAGAGCCAAACATCCAGAAAGCCCAGGAGCTGCATGGAGGAAAGGCTGAACTTTAGAGGAGCTTTGCTCCACATCTTATTTCTATAGTAGATTGATCTCACATAGAATCGCTGACTGGTCTTTATTTGGACCAACCAGTGAAGCCAGAGGCCCCTGGATCCCCGCATGCCAGCTGCAGGGGGAGCCAGAGAGACACCCAGTAGAACCACCATTGATCGCTGACCTGATCTGGTGGCGCCATCTTGGGGAGGCCAACAGCTTTTAATCAACTTTAACTTTCTGAATATTGAACTAATTTTTAGTTTATTTTATTTTTGGCTGAAAACAAACAAAAGGTTCAGTTTATTTAAATATCCTTAGTGGAGTTAAGAGTGATAGAATATTCTGATAGGATGGATGCATGTCGCACATTTTTATTACTATATACAGAAACATATTTATACACACAGATATTTACACATATCTATATATAAATCTCTCCTTATAAACTTTACTGCCTGAACCCCAGTGGGCCTCAGCAGATGGCCGCTCACACTGAGCCTGGTTCTGCTGTTTCTTCCTGTTCAAAGGGAGTTTTTCCTCTCCACTGTCGCTACAAGCATGCTTAGTGTGAGGGATTGCTGAAGAGTCAATGAGTCGATGCAATCAGCTGGTTTTCCTTAGATAGAAAACTTTGAATCAATCTGACTGGATGATCTGGTTGATCTGGAGCTATAGAAATAAACTGAATAGAATGTAAATGTATATTAAACTACTGTAAAATAAAAACTCCACAGCTTTAATCTTTTGCTGCACATTTTCCCACCGTGGGTCAATAGAGTTTCTAATCTATGTAGTGTATATCTAAAGCTCTGATGTCATCAGTCTGTTGATTTAAAGTGAAACCCGCTGCAGCGCTCGACCTCCCCAAGATGGCGGCCCTAACTGAAGCGCAGCGGCAGTCAGTGTGAGTTTCTGCCGGACGGTTCCACTGACCCGGGTTCTGTTTGGTTCCGCCTGCAGGTCGGCGAGCTGTGCGAAGGCGTCATCAGGGTCCACGCTCCCCTGCACGCCAAGGTTTCCATGGCGATACAGCTAGACGAACAAACCACGGCCAAAGACGTGACGAGCCGCTTCGAGTCCCGGACCAGGTGAGGACGGCGTCCATCGGGTGAGGACGCCTCCGTCCCTGCCGACCTCACTTCCTGTCTCTCTGTCCGCAGCCCCGCCCAGCATCTCTACGAGGTCGGAGGGAACATCTGTAAGTATGATGACATCACACGGCCGTGGGCCTGTGGAGCAGCTGAGAACCTGTCCTCCGTCTGCCTGACAGATGAGCGCCGCCTGCAGCCGGACTGCTGCCTGCTGGACGTGTACCGAGAAAACCCGTGCTGCGATTGGCTGATCAAACCCTGACCACCGACTGAACTCACCTGTACCTGCTGAGTGTCCAATAAAAGCCTGAACACGGCGCCGTGTCTCCGCCTGCTGGTCACTGTCGGTTCCTGCAGGGTAGAGCCAGTGAAGCCTGGCAGACAGAGCTGAGGGCAGCAGGAAGCATCACACCCAGTTAGGAAAACATTAAAACCTTTATTTCATCACGTCTCATTTCTGATGACATCATCACCCGCCGCTCTGCTCATGAAACTGAGCCCAGCGGAAATCCGTCTAAATATGGGCGTTCCTGTCCGTTCAGACCGAAGCTACAGGGATCCTCGGGTCACCCGGAGGTCAGGCGGGACGACGCCGTGACGTCTGACGCGCGCAACCTCACTGTCATTTGGTATAAATACACTTCAACCAGAAGTTCCTCAGCCGCCGTTCTCCGGGCGTCTGGATTAGCTGGCGTTCTCCAGGCGTCGGGATCAGCCGGCGTACTCCAGGCGTCGGGATCGGCCGGCGTTCTCCAGGCGTCCTGATCAGCCGGCGTTCTCCGGGCGTCGGGATCAGCCGGCGTTCTCCCGATGTTGGAGTGGCCGGCGTTCTCCCGACGTAAGGAGCGGCCGGCGTTCTCCGGGCGTCGGGACCGGCCGGCGTTCTCCCGATGTTGGAGTGGCCGGCGTTCTCCCGACGTAAGGAGCGGCCGGCGTTCTCCGGGCGTCGGGACCGGCCGGCGTTCTCCCGATGTTGGAGTGGCCGGCGTTCTCCCGATGTTGGAGTGGCCGGCGTTCTCCCGATGTTGGAGTGGCCGGCGTTCTCCCGATGTTGGAGTGGCCGGCGTTCTCCCGATGTTGGAGTGGCCGGCGTTCTCCGATGTTGGAGTGGCCGGCGTTCTCCCGATGTTGGAGTGGCCGGCGTTCTCCCGATGTTGGAGTGGCCGGCGTTCTCCGATGTTGGAGTGGCCGGCGTTCTCCCGATGTTGGAGTGGCCGGCGTTCTCCCGATGTTGGAGTGGCCGGCGTTCTCCGATGTTGGAGTGGCCGGCGTTCTCCCGATGTTGGAGCGGCTGCTGTTCTCCCGGCGTCCTGATCGGCCGGCGTTCTCCCGGCGTCGGGATCGGCCGGCGTTCTCCCGGCGTCGGGATCGGCCGGCGTTCTCCCGGCGTCGGGATCGGCCGGCGTTCTCCCGGCGTCGGGATCGGCCGGCGTTCTCCCGGCGTCGGGATCGGCCGGCGTTCTCCCGGCGTCGGGATCGGCCGGCGTTCTCCCGGCGTCGGGATCGGCCGGCGTTCTCCCGGCGTCGGGATCGGCCGGCGTTCTCCCGGCGTCGGGATCGGCCGGCGTTCTCCCGGCGTCGGGATCGGCCGGCGTTCTCCGGGCGTCGGGATCGGCCGGCGTTCTCCCGATGTTGGAGTGGCCGGCGTTCTCCGGGCGTCGGGATCGGCCGGCGTTCTCCCGGCGTCGGGATCGGCCGGCGTTCTCCCGGCGTCGGGATCGGCCGGCGTTCTCCCGGCGTCGGGATCGGCCGGCGTTCTCCCGGCGTCGGGATCGGCCGGCGTTCTCCCGGCGTCGGGATCGGCCGGCGTTCTCCGGGCGTCGGGATCGGCCGGCGTTCTCCCGATGTTGGAGTGGCTGGCGTTCTCCGGGCGTCGGGATCAGCCGGCGTTCTCCCGGCGTCGGGATCAGCCGGCGTTCTCCCGGCGTCGGGATCAGCCGGCGTTCTCCCGGCGTCGGGATCGGCCGGCGTTCTCCCGGCGTCGGGATCGGCCGGCGTTCTCCGGGCGTCGGGATCGGCCGGCGTTCTCCCGATGTTGGAGCGGCTGGCGTTCTCCGGGCGTCGGGATCGGCCGGCGTTCTCCCGGCGTCGGGATCAGCCGGCGTTCTCCCGATGTTAGGAGCAGCTGATGTTCTCCAGATGTTGCTCCTCGGCCGCCATGGCGGCGGCCTGCAGCGTCTCGGTGTCGCTCTGCAGAGGGTTCAGCTGCTTCCTCTCGCTGTGCATGTTGTTCTCGTGACGCTTCAGGTCGGATGCCTGGAGGAACAGAGGAAGATGGAGGTCAGAACCCTGATGGGACCCGGTCCAGTCAGACACAGAAGATAAACCATTGATCCAAAGGAGAACCAGGTGGTCCGGTTCTGGAAACATTCTGACAGTGGAGTTAATGGCGGTTCTGCTGCTGTTAGTCTAGAAATCACAGAGTCGCTCCTGAACGCATCACTGACTTGTTAGAGGATCGACAGCCAGACCTCTGAGGTCTGCTGGATCAGAACCAGAACCCGACATGGAGAAGAAGCTTTTAGTTCTACTGGAAGAAACTGAAAGCTTTGAATCCATCAACATGTTTGTTTACAGTTCTGGTTCTGATCCCAGAACCGGAACCAGAACCTGAACCAGAACCAGAACCAGTCTCTACCAAAAGGCTCTGGACGGATCAACCCGCCGTTCCTCCTCCTGTTCACAGTCCAACCGCCAACATCATCATCACCTCCACAGATCAGGATCTGGACCAGAACCCTGATCAACCAGGGAGGCAGCCCACCTCTGACATCACTCTGACATCATCACCCTGACAGGATGTGGCCCCTTCAGGGCGCCACAGAGCTGGAGTAACTGGGAGCACTGGTACCTTGGCGAAGGCCTTGGTGCAGGACGGACAGACGAAGGGTTTCTCTCCTCGGTGTCTCCTCTCGTGGTCCTTCAGGTGGGACTTATGTTTAAAGGCCTGCAGACAGACAGACGGATGGACGGATGGTTAGCGGGTTGGTAGAAGCCGCCTCCTCCTCCTGTGCCTCCTCCTGCTGCTCCTCCTCCTGCTGCTCCTCCTCCTGCGGAGCGCTCCAGGTACCAGAGGAGACCTAACCTCCTCAGACCAGAGGAACATCTAGACAGCAGACGGCTGGAGGCCATCAGGCCGTGGATCAGGCCTCCCTCTGCTTCACCGTCAGACAGAGGCGGCCATCTTGGATCATCACTCACCTTGTCGCACATCTGGCAGGCGAACGGCCATCTTGGATCTGCACTCACCTTGTCGCACATCTGGCAGGCGAACGGCCGCTCGTTGCTGTGGACCCGCTCGTGTTTCTTCAGGTCAGGAGCTCGGATGAACGACTTCCCGCAGACCTCGCAGCGGTAGGGTTTGAAGCCCGTGTGGATCTTCAGGTGTTCTGGAACAGACGGGCGGGCGGAGGGGGCGGAGTCAAACACAGCAGGCCTGAGGCGGCGGTCAGAAGGGGGAGGTCCTACCTTTCAGGTGAGCGTGGGTGGTGAAGGCTTTGGAGCAGATCTCGCAGGCGAACGGACGCTCGGCCGAGTGGAGCTTCTCGTGTTTCCTGGGGAGGCAGAGCGGGTCAGCGTTCAGCTCCGTCAGGTTGTGGAAGGTGGCTCCGCCCAGGTGTGCACATACCTGAGCCGGCTCTCGTCCACGAAGGTCTTCCCGCACGCCTGGCAGGCCAGCGGCTCCCGGTGGCCGTACAGCAGGTACTCGAACTTCATGTCGGTGGAGGCCGCAGACCAGCCGGGCGCCTGCTCGTCCTTCACCTCGCCCATGCTGTCCGTGAACGTCAAGGTCTGGGTGGCGTGATGCTCCGCCCCCAGATCCTTTGGCTCCGCCTCCATGTCCGTCACCACGTCCTGGTCATAGCAGGCAACCTGAGGAGACAAAGGTCAACCAGAAAAGGTCATGGAGACGAATATGGGGGAGGGTTAGAGGGAGGACAGATGGGGGACATGAGTAGGACAGGTGGAGGACAGACGGTGGACAGGCGGAGGACAGGCAGAGGACAGGCAGAGGACAGGCGGAGGACAGGCAGAGGACAGGCGGAGGACATGCGGAGGACAGATGCAGGACAGGCAGAGGACAGAGGGAGGACATGTGGAGGACAGGCGGAGGACATGAGGAGGACAGGCGGAGGACAGGGGGAGGACAGGCGGAGGACAGGCGGAGGACAGGTGGAGGACAGGTGGAGGACAGGTGGAGGACATGCAGAGGACAGGTGGAGGACATGCAGAGGACAGGCGGAAGACAGGCACAGGACAGGCAGAGGACAGGCGGAGGACAGGCACAGGACAGGCGGAGGACATGCAGAGGACAGGCGGAGGACAGGTGGAGGACAGGCAGAGGACATGCGGAGGACATGCGGAGGACAGGGGGAGGACAGGGGGAGGACAGGCGGAGGACAGGCGGAGGACAGGTGGAGGACAGGTGGAGGACATGCAGAGGACAGGTGGAGGACATGCAGAGGACAGGCGGAGGACAGGTGGAGGACAGGCAGAGGACATGCGGAGGACATGCGGAGGACAGGGGGAGGACATGCAGAGGACAGGCGGAAGACAGGCACAGGACAGGCAGAGGACAGGCGGAGGACAGGCACAGGACAGGCGGAGGACATGCAGAGGACAGGCGGAGGACAGGTGGAGGACAGGCAGAGGACATGCGGAGGACATGCGGAGGACAGGCAGAGGACAGGCGGAGAACAGGCGGAGGACAGGCGGAGGACAGGCACAGGACAGGCGGAGGACATGCAGAGGACAGGCGGAGGACAGGTGGAGGACAGGCAGAGGACATGCGGAGGACATGCGGAGGACAGGCAGAGGACAGGCGGAGGACAGGTGGAGGACAGGCGGAGGACAGGCACAGGACAGGCAGAGGACAGGCGGAGGACAGGCGGAGGACAGGCGGAGGACAGGCGGAGGACAGGCGGAGGACAGGCAGAGGACAGGCGGAGGACAGGCAGAGGACAGGCAGAGGACAGGCAGAGGACAGGCGGAGGACAGGTGGAGGACAGGCAGAGGACATGCGGAGGACATGCGGAGGACAGGCAGAGGACAGGCGGAGGACAGGTGGAGGACAGGCAGAGGACAGGCGGAGGACAGGCGGAGGACAGGTGGAGGACAGGCAGAGGACATGCGGAGGACATGCGGAGGACATGCGGAGGACAGGCAGAGGACAGGCGGAGGACAGGTGGAGGACAGGTGGAGGACAGGCGAGGATCTACAGATTCAGACATGGACCTTATGAACGTCCTCATTGGTCAGTTCTTTCAAGATGGCCTCCTGCACGTGCAGCGCCGTGTTCGGGGACTTGTCCAGCTCTGGATTGGCCGACGCCTCCACCAGGTCTTCTGCAGTGGGCGTGTCATCGTGCTCACCAAGCACCTGTGAATCGACCAATCAGGATCAGAGAGCAGAGGTAAAGCTGATGGTCAGCTCTGGGCCACCGTACCTCAGCGTCTGCAGCCAGCTGAGCTTCAGGGGGCAGCGCCATCTTCACGATGTCATACGGGAACTTGTCTTTGTCTTCTGATGACACGTCTCGTTTCTGATGACACACAAACACATCGTAACTGACGCCCTGACGCGGCGGCGGTCAGAAACCGCGGCTTTCCGGGGCGTTACCTGGGAGCAGAGCTTGTCAAGGAAACGGATGCCAAGTATCTGTCCTGATGACATCATCAGATTGACGTCTTTCTTCTTCACGGAGATCTTCGCCGTATACATGTAGTTGAGGACCTCCTCGAAGATGTCGGAGCGGATGAAGTCGATCTCGATCACAGACGAGTTGTCCACCTGAGGACACGAGGCCAGGTGAGAACCGTGCCGGACTTACCGACCCATCTGCATACAGAACCTCTGCTACCTCGTGCTTCTTGAAGAGCTTTTTGAAGTAGTTGGAACAGGCGGCGAGGACGCAGCGGTGAGCACGGAACTTCACGTCTTCCACCACCACGGCGATGTCACAGTGCTCGCCCTCCAGCCGCTGCTCGTTCAGCAGCTTCAGGAAAATGCTCTTATGCTCATCGTCCACGTACTTCACCGTCTCCGCCATCTGCATACAGGACACACCAGGACATCACTACTAGAACCTCTGACACCAGGACATCACTACTAGAACCTCTGACACCAGGACATCACTACAAGAACCTCTGACACCAGGACATCACTACAAGAACCTCTGACACCAGGACATCACTACAAGAACCTCTGACACCAGGACATCACTACAAGAACCTCTGACACCAGGACATCACTACTAGAACCTACGACACCAGGACATCACTACTAGAACCTACGACACCAGGACATCACTACTAGAACCTACGACACCAGGACATCACTACTAGAACCTCTGACACCAGGACATCACTACTAGAACCTCTGACACCAGGACATCACTACTAGAACCTCTGACACCAGGACATCACTACAAGAACCTCTGACACCAGGACATCACTACTAGAACCTCTGACACCAGGACATCACTACAAGAACCTCTGACACCAGGACATCACTACTAGAACCTACGACACCAGGACATCACTACTAGAACCTACGACACCAGGACATCACTACTAGAACCTCTGACACCAGGACATCACTACTAGAACCTCTGACACCAGGACATCACTACTAGAACCTCTGACACCAGGACATCACTACAAGAACCTCTGACACCAGGACATCACTACTAGAACCTACGACACCAGGACATCACTACTAGAACCTACGACACCAGGACATCACTACTAGAACCTCTGACACCAGGACATCACTACTAGAACCTCTGACACCAGGACATCACTACTAGAACCTACAACAGCAGGACATCACTACTAGAACCTCTGACACCAGGACATCACTACTAGAACCTCTGACACCAGGACATCACTACAAGAACCTCTGACACCAGGACATCACTACTAGAACCTACGACACCAGGGCACTACTACTAGAACCTACGACACCAGGACATCAGTACTAGAACCTACAACACCAGGACATCACTACTAGAACCTACAACACCAGGACATCACTACTAGAACCTCTGACACCAGGAGATCACTACCAGAACCTCTGACACCAGGAGATCACTACCAGAACCTCTGACACCAGGAGATCACTACCAGAACCTCTAACACCAGGACATCACTACTAGAACCTACGACACCAGGAGATCACTACTAGAACCTCTGACACCAAGATATCACTACCAGAACCTACGACACCAAGATATCACTACCAGAACCTACGACACCAAGATATCACTACCAGAACCTACGACACCAAGATATCACTACCAGAACCTACGACACCAAGATATCACTACCAGAACCTACGACACCAAGATATCACTACCAGAACCTACGACACCAAGATATCACTACCAGAACCTACGACACCAAGATATCACTACCAGAACCTACGACACCAAGAGATCACTACCAGAACCTACGACACCAAGAGATCACTACCAGAACCTACGACACCAAGAGATCACTACCAGAACCTACGACACCAAGATATCACTACCAGAACCTCTGACACCAGGAGATCACTACAAGAACCTCTGACACCAGGAGATCACTACTAGAACCTAGAACACCAGGAGACGCCAGGACATCACTACTAGAACCTCTTGACACCAGGAGATCACTACTAGAACCTAGAACACCAGGAGACGCCAGGACATCACTACCAGAACCTCTGACACCTGGAGATCACTACCAGAACCTCTGACACCTGGAGATCACTACCAGAACCTCTGACACCTGGAGATCACTACCAGAACCTCTGACACCTGGAGATCACTACCAGAACCTCTGACACCTGGAGATCACTACCAGAACCTCTGACACCTGGAGATCACTACCAGAACCTCTGACACCAGGAGATCACTACTAGAATCGTTGACACCAGGAGATCACTACCAGAATCGGTGACAACAGGAGATCACTTCCAGAACCTCTGGAGATCACTTCCTGAGTTTTTCCATATCTTGGTTCCGTGTTCCATAGTTCCTCCCATTAACCTGCTCTATTAGCCGCTACAGCTAGCCCCCAGGTAGCGTCGCTCTGATCCAGTCAGGAACAGAACCAGACTGTTCTAAAGCAGTAGAACCTCATTTATGGATGAAATGAAAGCAGATTTCTGATGAAATGTGTTTCGTCTCTGAGTGTGAATCCGCTAGCAGTGTGTAGCATAGCGCTAACAGGTGGAACATGCTGCTAACCTGACCAGCTAAGGATCACCAGCATCTATGCTGAAACATCTCTTCTTCTTCTTCTTATGGGATTTTATGGCGGTTGGCAGACTTGTGAATTGTGCATTACCGCCACCAACTGATATGGAGTAATGCAAGATAACAGGAAACGATTCACCCCCCCCCCCCAAAAAAAAAAAAAAAAAAAAAAAAAAAAAAAAAAAAAAAAAAAAAAAAAAACCCTGTGTAACTTAAACCAACATAATACTAAATCACATTTGCCCATATAATTTTAATTTACTCTAGGTCATCTTAACTCTGCCAGTTTCTGATGGTCCCATCGGTCCTCCCATCATACTTCCAACCATCTCCCAGTTCAAATCTTTAATATCCAGATATTTTTCTGCAGCCTTCACTATTATTTTGATTTTTTTCCGTTTTTTTTGTTGTCTGTGCAGTACAATTAATTACTTCTACCATGAAAAGAACAAAATTTGTCTTTTTAACAATAAGTGAGTCTTCATTAATTTTTGGAGATTTCTCTAGAGGTTTGGAATTTGCTGTGTGTTGAACTGTAGGTTTGGGTTTTTCTGACTGAGATGGGATCCTTTTTGCAGCTTCAGCGTAGGTTATTCCGAGCTCAAATTTCATTTTTTTAATTTCCTCAGACCTTTTGCTTGCTTCACAGCCGCGATAGGCAGCAGTATGTTCTCCACCACAATTACAGCATTTTATTTTAGCTTCTTTTCCACATTTTCCGTACTCATGTTCTCCTGCACACCTTCCACACCTCTGTTTCCCTTTACAAACTGCTGCAACGTGACCGAATTTTTGGCATTTGAAACATCTCAATGGTGGAGGATTGTAGATTTTGACATTATAGCTTATGTAACCGATGAATACTTTGCTTGGTAATTGCTCTTCTTCGAATTTAATTAGCACAGATAAACTGTCAGATCTTTCTCCGTTTCTTGTTGTTTTTAAACCGTTTTACTTCTTTTACTTTTGCACCGCTTATGTTTTCCAGAATCTCTTTTTCAGAAATTTTTAGAGGAACTCCTCCAATGACTCCCCTGCTGATCTTTTTGTTCTCCATTAAGCTGCACTGAACTCTTATCCCGTCAATTTTGTTGATACGTATTGCTTTGCCTTGCTGGGCGCTGTCTCTGCAGTTAATTAGCAGGTCTCCACTGTACAGAATTCTGGCACCTTTGACTTCTCCGACAAGTTTATTGATGGTTTTTGTTAAGTGAACCGGATTCCAATTTGTAAAAGAGTCTGCCTGATTAACGACTTTGAATATGACTTTGAATTCATTTTGTTGTGCTGTGGAATGTATGGAATGATCATCACTGGATTGTTCTGAACTAGATTCCCCTTGAACTGATCTCTGTTTTTTCCGCTTTTTCTCATTTTTTGATGTTGCTATCTTCCAACCTTCATTGTCACTATTTCCCTCTTCCATCCCACAAGAATCGCTTCCTGTTTCCTCACTACTCACGGCCCAAGACATTTCTCCATAAGCAGCTTCAAAACACGCGCCATGCACCAAACGACCATCCACATCCGACCGACTCCCCTTTCCTCTGCTGAAACATCTCAATCATTAGAGGCCAATAAAAGAGGGAGGGACCATGTGACTCTGAGCTGATGGAGCAGGTAGAGGTCAAAGGTTAAAACACTAGCATAGCCTATCAAGCTAAACTAGCCTCAAACATTAGCTTAATGCTAAAATGCTAGTTTAGATAATCTCCCTGGAAACTGTTATGATTGATTTTATGATTTAATTCAAGTTTTCTCTTCAGGAAAATCTGGATTTTGTTTCTCCTCAAAGAGTTTCTCAGGTTTGGATTGTTCACTAGTGATGGGATGAGTCCAGATGTGGGCGTAGATTCTAAAAATAGATTGGTTGTTTTTCCAACCAATCTAGATGGTTAAAACTATTTTAGATTAAACACTGTAACGATCTTAATCTGAGCAAACTGCAGGTTATGGTAATAACTTTAGTGTTAATTACTATTGCTGCCTGATCAATAGCGTCAGCTGTCAGACATTGACCGTCACTCCTCAGGTTGTTGGTTTGAGACCCGCCCCAGCCTTTTGAAAGTTGCAATTATTCTTAACCAACTGATTGCATCGACTCATTGACTCTTCAGCAATCCCTCACACTAAGCATGCTTGTAGCGACAGTGGAGAGGAAAAACTCCCTTTGAACAGGAAGAAACCTCCAGCAGAACCAGGCTCAGTGTGAGCGGCCATCTGCTGAGGCCCACTGGGGTTCAAGGAGACAGAAGCAGACATAGAAAAAGAAGTATAGATACAAAAGGCAACCAGCTCCACAGGCGGCCCCGTCCAGGAAACACACAGCCAGGCAGACGAGCTCCGAGCCAGCTCCCATGTCAGAGGATGAAGAGAGCACATCCAGTTAGTCACAGTCAGAGAAACAGGACTACACTGGAAAACAGGCCAAGCTCCAACATCTAGAAACAAAGGTGTTGATGGCAGCAGCACAGCTGATATTTCTCTCCAGGATGGAGTCACAGCCAAACAGGAACAGACATTCTTCCCATGGTGCAAATGTTCATCCTCCAGGACACGCTGTTAGCTTAGCATCAACAGACTAGCAACATAAACAGCCTCTTTAACACTAAACTAGGATTGATGGTGATGTTTCCCCATCTGGACGTTACCCAGCAGCCTTTTCAGCTACTGACACAGAGCTGCTGACTGTAAACTGTTCATCAGGATCTATAATGCAGGTCTACAGTTAAACTGTTCATTTTATCTGAATAAACACGAATTAAACAGCAATAATCTCATTGAATATTATTTATTTTCATCACCAGTTGTAGAACAAAAGCTTCTCAAGCTGTTTATGATGCAGCTTGGATCCAAGGGTCTCAGACTTTTACTTATTATTGAGGTAGCGCACTACGGCGGAGTATTAGGGAGGTTTTATTACCAGAATAAAGTCATCATACATCAACCCGTTTCAGAAAGAAAGCTTGGAGCTCCGCCCACCAGATGACCGGCGACCAGCTCCACCAATCAGCAACCAGAGTCCACTTTGACATCCTGCCCAGTTTGATGCTGCTGCTAAAAGATTTCCTGATTCTTCAAACCGATGCTAAAGTAGAACTTCCCATGATGCATTTTAGGGAAGACAGCATTGTCATAAAATACAACATTTTAGGGCTTTATTCTTGTTATATAAGAAAACAAATGTCTATTCTGGCCCTAATGCTCATCATCTTTATCTTATTTTTCTCTCTTCTATAATAATTTAATTTCCAGAATAAATTCCCCAGAAAGGATTAATAAATTAATTTCTATTCTGATTCAGGAAACCTTTGACAGGATTCTATTGAGCCTTTTTAATCTAGATTAATTAAATGTTTCTATGGCAACACTAGTTTTTAAAATTAAAGTCAGAAACAGATTTATCAGATTTTAGATGAAAACCTGGATTGCATCATCATCTAATCTAATCTAATCTGATCTGATATGATCTGAAGCTTTCCTCATCTTCATCATCATCACTGAACGGCGTGACGAAGAGTAACAGAACCTTCAGAACCGAACAGTTCTTCAGAACCTGCAGGGATTAAATCTGTGGACCAGAACTCCCTGGTTCTGATCCAGAAGGTTCTACTTCCTGTCCTGGCCCAGTTCTGGTCCAGATGCCTCTTCCAGAACCAGAGACCCGGTTTAGCAGAACCAGAGACCCGGTTTAGCAGAACCAGGGACCCGGTTCTGACCTGATGTTCCTCCAGCATCTGGAACATTCTGGTCCAGTTCAGAACGGGCCTGGTTTGGACCTTCTCCTCCAGAACCGGGCCGAGCAGCAGAACTTCCTGTCAGCCACCTGGTTGTCATGACAACGGCCCGCGGGTCCAGGTTCAACCCATCAGAACCGGAATCACGGGAAGCTCGTGCGCTGTCTGCTCACTGTGCACGCGCACTGATCGTGGGTCGGACACGTGCATGGAGCGCGTGAGCGCGCCCTGCTTCGGGAGGATGAACCGGACCTACCGAGTCCAGGTCTCGGTCCGGACTGGTTGAACTGGACCTAGACCGGACCCAGACCTGGACCCGATCAGAACCGAGTCTTTTGACCGGATCCGGAGCGGTTAGCTGCGGGTAGCCAGCAGGCTAACCGCTCCGATCCAGGCCGGAACCGAACCACCCGGTTCCGGCCTGGTTCTGCTGCGGTTCTGTTGGACCGCAGCAGAACCAGCGGAAACAAGATGGCGGCTCGTGTCCCGCTCCGTGCCCGTGGCGCGCGCGCCGCTATCCCGGGCCTCGCGAGCTGCGGCCCCGACACACAGGCACGCGAGCGGCGGGGCCGCGGCCTCCAGGCGCGCGGACACCCCGGTCACGGAGCGTGGAGGAGCGCGGGGCCGTGGAGCGTGCTCTTACCGTGGCCGTGTCCCGTGGGTGTGTCCGCGCCGCGTGCCGTGGCTCCGGGTTCCGGTTGATGCTGTTTGTTGTGAAGCGAGAAGCTGAGGAGGCCGCGCTTTGCGCCAGCACGCTGACTGCGGGGGCACGCAGCGCGCCAACGGGCCGCGGACACGGCGCATGCGCGCTACTGTTGCTGCTGCTGATGGGGGGGGGACTGGCCCCCCGACAGGGCCGCTGCTAGAGGAGAACCCCCAACCCCCCCCCCCCCCCCCCCCCCCCCCCCCCCCCCCCCCCCCCCCACACCCCCCATAAACTGTGATGGTAAAATGCTTCTTAGTGCAGAAAAATATTTAGTTTCTGCTGCTTTGGTTTAATTGACATTAAAGATGACCCCCCCCCCTTCCATGGTTTAGTGCCTCATTAGTGCAGATTGGTGTTAATACCTGCAGGTGATCACGTGACTGACTGCATTTATTCACCTGCTGCTGTTTGTTTCATTAAATCTGGAATAAAAGTCAATTAAAGGTCATTGGAATCTCTGCAATGCAGACTTTTAACATTTTATTCTGATAAATCAATGACATTAAAATGAATCCGTTAGATTATTTATATTTTCCTGCTTATTGGCAAACATTTCTTCTAATGTTCTTTCTTTAGTTTCCAGCGTTAGAAGGAAGTTTATTTTATAAAGCGACTCGGTTTCCACACGATGCAAAGAAAAGTTCTTATTCAGCAGCAGTTCTGCTGTCAGAGCGGCTCAGTGAAAGATGTTAAATATTCCTGTTTGTTTTAACTGTTTCTTTAAGCAAAGCATGAAATAAAAAACAGGCCAAATATCTTAATATAGCTGCATGAAGTCAAATTCATATTCAATTAAGTTTAATTAAAATTCTATGTCAATATATATTCAGAATTTAGGAATTTTACATATTTTTCCCTTAATTGAAGTTAAAATGAGCATTTTCTACTGATGCTGACACAATACTGACACCTGCTGGACATTTAAAAACACTGCAGGCAGCCTCTGATTTGATGACCTATTCAAATAATTGTTTGCTTTCATTTATATTTCATAGTTTGGTTTAAATTGAAAATGTGTTCGATATTTTCAGATTTTTAGACAATCAATTAATTTAAAAAGATAGGGAATAGGAGTTATTTATTTATTTATTTAAGATAATAACTAGAGGAAGAAATTCAGATAAACTGAGTGAAAACTGAGAGGAAGAGGAGAAATAAGAAGAAAATTAATTTAAATATGAGATCAGAATGATCCGGCTCAGATTAAACTGCTCTGTCTGACACTTTGCTGTTCTTCTCTTCTCTAAGATCAATTTTTATTCATTCATTTGTTTAAAAACTGCTAAAGATCATAATTATTTTTGCAGTTTAGTTTGAAGCAGCTCCTGTTTCGCTTCTGGAAACGATCAGCTGACCAGATCGATACCTGAGCCCACGCATCATCCATCAACACTTCTATAAAATCTGAATTTCAAGAAAAACTGAGAAATTCAGCTTAAATTCTTTATTTTTTTAAAGTTGTAACTCAGTCCTATTTAATCATTCTAACTTAAACATGTTTATAAATGTTCTCTTTATCATATTGGCCTAAAAGTTGGAACATTTCTATCTTAATCCTGTTCTGCAGGATGCATCTCTATTCCCTGGATTCCTGATGGGCCATTCGTAGCCGCCATATTGGTACTCCCTAGTTAGACCGGTCACAATGTAAACAATCCGTGCGCTACGTTCTCATTTTCAGGGGATTTAAGACGTTTAAACTAAAGATAAATTCAGCATTTTGACACAGACTGGCTGTTTCAGAGCATCAGTAGATTAACTTTAACTTAGAATAGTTATTATGACGTCAATAAAGTCTATAAATCAAGTAATATAACATATTATACAAATAATCACTTTAACATTAACGTGTTAAAGGAGCAGAATAACACAGATGAGCCTAAAGTGATAAATTAACGATGTTATTCTCATAAACATTGATTTATTTTACGTATCATTTCCAGATTTTCCATCAGGACTGAATTCTGTCTTTTTATGCTGGAATATTTTCCTGTTTGCAGAATTAAATGCATAATCCAGAGATTTTATCCAAATTTAACAGGATATTAAACAGAGTTAATTTTGACAACATTTCTAATAATTTTCTGGTAATTTTTTAGTAAAATGTAAATAATTTTAATGAAGATAAACTTCAGTCCCAGTTTGCAGATCAGTCTGGTTTTTAATGAGGGATTAATTCAGGATGGCATCGCCAACAGTCTCTGCTTCTCCATATTTTCCTCTCTCAGTGACATCATCAGTGACATCAGCAGTGACATCATTTCTAAGCATCAAAGCCAAGAACTCCGTTCATGATGAAGTCTAACTACAGCCTCAAAAACAAACCAGAAAGTTGAAGCAAAGCTGGGAGGAAACATCTCCGTCCGCCTTAAAACTACCAGTGGAACCAGTTAAGGCCTGACTGGGAGAACTGGAAGGAATGAATGAACCAGTCTATAGAAAACATTCCTGCAGAAACGGATCAGAGAAGAAGAACGACTCATTTTTATCATAAACTGGATGCTGGGAAGGAATTTAAATCTGCTTCAGTTAAAAAAACATTTTAGTTTAATATTGAAACTTTTCATTTTCTATCAATTCATCAATTTATGCAATAAAAAATGATCCTTTCTTAACCCTTTGATGCCTGCTGTTGCTAATAAGCAACAAACCGCCTGTATTACACTGCAAAAAATGTAAATCAGTCATTTTTTCCTAAAATAAGAGCATTTTTTCTTTAATTGAGGAGGTTAGTGAGACACTCTGCAATCGGAACAAGACAATAAGGAAAAAACAACTAAAGTCTCTTATTTCAGGTGCATAATATCTAATTATCTTATTTTAAGGGTAAAAATGCTCATTCCATTGGCAGATCATCTTATTTTTCTACTCATATTTAGAGTAAATACACTTAAAAAATAAAAAATAAAAACATTTTTGCAGTGTAGGCAACCAGCCACCACAGCGTTTTAGCATCAGAGCTAGTCCCACTGTTTGTTTTAACTGCTGTTACAAAATACACTTTACCTTTATTTCTATTTGTTTAGTCAAATTAACCATTTTAATTTGCCGTCGGCTCCCATCCTGAATTATTCTAGATCCGTTTTACTTTCCCCAAGTTGCTTCTCAGGTTTTAAGAATAGTTGCGTTTTGCCCCATAATCGATCAGATATCTGATGGAGGGAAGCCGCGCTCAGTGGGAATCGCTGCACTGATTAGAAAGGTTTCTATCTGTGATGAAAGCTCGGACGTCCTGGATCATCATAGCTGAACAGAACTAGACCACATAGAGCTAGGCTGGACCATCCACCGTCAGCTGTGCTGCTGCCATCAACACCTTTGTTTCTAGATGTTGGAGCTTGGCCTGTTTTCCAGTGTAGTCCTGTTTCTCTGACTGTGACTAACTGGATGTGCTCTCTTCATCCTCTGACATGGCTCCAGATAGGTGTGTGAAATATTTGACAGAGAAAGATACTTTGATCCATCGTTTATAGGAATATCCTAATTTAATGTTCAGTCTGCACTCTGAGTATAATCATTGGTTCTCGGGTACTTTGCACAGCAAAACTCTGTATTTTAGGAATGTTCCCAGGTTGCTACTCTAAGTAAAAGGCTCTGATCAATGTGGCCTCCTGCAGGCCAGGAGGAGAATTGCACCATCATGGAGAGAGCCGGAAATCCTCTCTACAAAATCCAGGATCAGAGAAAAGTCACGTTAGAAAAGTTAATCTATAGAGTCAGAGGTTAAGAGCAAGAATTTGAAGAAGTATGGAAATCCCTTAACGGATTTTATTAAGCAACAGTAGATTGTATTGATGTGTAAGGATATTGAGTTTAATAGTTTCATTTCATTTCTATATTATTATTTCTAATTGTAATTGTATTGTTTTATGTACGTACTCTTTGAAATTTTAATTAAGTTAAATTTACACTTTTATTTTTTTACGTGTGTATGCAGTGATTGTGCAAATGGTGTAACGCGTGTCAACATGTTTTTATATATCCTTATAGGAAATTAATAAAAAAACATTGTTAAAAAAAGGAAGAATATTTGGTTTAGTTTAAAAAAAGGGATGTTTTTTTTTTTATCTTTATCACCAAGGGAGACGAGACGCCTCCATGGAAACACCAGAATCAGCTCAACATCGTGTGACTTAAAGGAGAAAAATCACCTTTACCCAGTTAAACCTAGGTCAGAGGTCACGGATCAGCGGTCCGGATCCAGCCTGATTTAAAACATTTATAAATTACTGCATGTTGTCCAATGGCAGTGTCTAATTTCCCTTGCGCCTCTTCTCCTGTTAATACGGTAAAGCCCTGGGGAGCGTCCGGCTCCAGGCTGCACGTGATCCAAATGAGCCAATGAGCTGTCAGTCTGGGTTGCTGCTGCTGCTACTTTTAGACACAGCAGGCAAACCTGTGGCAAGCCGGGCGATGGGAAAGAAGGAGAAGACCATGAGAAAAAGAAAGCAGAGAAAGTGTGGACTGCTGGAAGAACTGCGGTGAACTGGTGAAAGAAAAGTGAAATGGCGTGCTCAAAGATGACCCTGCACATTTAGAGGATGTTTGGCTCAACCTGCTGCTGTGAAGCAGGATTCTCCACCATGAACAGAATCAACAATAAATCTGGATCCAGGCTCAAAATGAGCTCCTTGATATGTGCTTGAGAATGGCTTAGTCTCCGGTTAAACCCAGGTTTAAAGCCTTGCAGGGCAGCCTAAAGCCCACTGCCAACATTAAGACAGAAAAAAGAAAGAAAATAACAAACCGTCAGTTCAGGTGTTTGATTTGAACAATTTTTGTTTTTTACTTAAAACAAATTTATTTTAATATATAACATAGATGCATAAAAACCTCATTTTATTTCAGTGTTAAACTCTGTTTAAAGTAACAATATAATTAAAATGTCTCTGGACCTTTTCTGGTTGATGATTTTCTTTATTGTGGTTTTTCATTGCTGACCCCTGGTTTAAGGTCTTAGCTGTTTAACCTCAGCAGGAGGAATCCCTGTGAGTCACACTGTGGCAGAACCAGGGGCGGATCTAGACCAAATGGACCAGGGGGCCAGGAGGGGGCCAGCGTGTTTTCATGGGGGCCCAGAAAAGCAGGAAATAAAAAACAAGGCAAGAGATTCAAATATATTAAGAGAGCTTCATGAAGTGAAGTTTTAATTACATTTAATTAGAATTCTATGTCTAATTAGGTCAGTTGTTGTTACCGTGGCGACGCTCCAAGGCAGCGGCCAGCAGCAGCTCCTCTCGACTATTTCACAAAACATTCTGCTTAAAACGATTCAAACTAGAGATCAAACCTGCATCTATGATCTCCAGCGCCTGCTGGAGCTACGCTCACAAAATGATTTAAATGCCGACATTTTAGACGGTTTAAAAAGCTGCGGAGCGCTACGGACGGATGTCAACAAGACAACAGCGGGAAATAACGGACGGAGGAGGCGAGGCTGCAGAGGGCGGGGCTAACTGAGAAGCTAAAGAGAAATCCCCACAGAGCTCCGCCTCCATCTATCCTGCTCTCCACGTCCGCTAGTTGGAAAACAAAACGGAGAATCTGCGACTGGAAATGTCTTCAATAAAGGAGATCTGCTGCACAATCGTTCTGATGGAGTCAAGGCTGCCCTCTGCAGGTGAAAATAAGAATAGCACTCTAGATGTTTCTATAGAGCTGTTAAATGAAATTTATTTTTTGTGTGTAAAATGACAAAATAAATCTAAGTCTAAAGTCAATATGCTTTCATAATTTAGGAATTTCACACATTTTCTGACTTAATTGAAGTTAAAATGACCTTTTTTTTTTATAAAATCTGAATTAAAATTGATAAAACTGATAAATTCAGCTGTAAATAATTATTTTTAATTTTATTTGCTTTGAAAAAAACCTTTAGGAGAAGAAAACTAGGATCCTATCTCAGTGCCACTGAAGGTATCACCTTATAGTTTTTAAATAATTAGTAAAACAGAATTTTTAAAGAAAAAAAAAATGAAATAGATCCAAAGTGGTTATCAGTAACTGTTCTAGAACAGATCATCATCAGAGTTTATTTGAGTTTTATTTTCTTCAGTACAGGGGCCAAAACAGGACATGATCTCCAGGGGCTCTGGCCCCCGTCGGCCTCCTGCCTGCATTGATTACATGCTGCAGTAAAGGAGGCAGAGAAACAGGAGAATCTGGAAGGAGAACCACCGTCACCTCTGAACAGCCTGAGGAGAAGAAACCTTTGGACACGACGTCTCCCTGACGTCTTACCAGAACCAGCAGGTCCGTCCTCGTCACTGGAAACAGGTTCTAATGGATGCAGACACCACAGCTCTGGTAAAACATTGAATGATCTTTTTTTCCTTTTCTTCTTCTGTTTTTCTGCTCTATTTACATTGCAGTGTCCATATAAAGCTTTTTATATGCATGAAACAAAGGGAAGGGGAAGCAAAACGTCTTCAAACTGTGGAAACCAGGTCCAGGGGATTGTTTATTTTTACTTTTACGGAAAGCTTAATTGTTTCTATAAATAGCTTTATTTCTGCACACTAAACCACCTTCTGTGCAAACCCTAATCACTACTAAACACAAACTGCTGCTTTCTACTATAAACACATCTCTGCTTTGATTTACTAACAGGAAGGGGCGGAGCCAATGGAGAGCCCCGACAGCCATTCAGAGCAGCTCATACTGCCGCAAGTGCATGCGCTGGATGATGTCACGACAATCGTTGAAGACGCGGCGGATGTTCTCGGTGTCGATGGCGCAGGTGAAGTGAGGGTAGCAGTAATGCTTCCCGTCGCCGCTGGCTGTGCTGATCCTCTGAAATTAGGACAAGTCGCTGGTTAGAGGAACATGTCGCATAAACATGTCGCATAAACATGTCGCAGTTTCAACATGCAAGGATGCGTCAGAGGCAGGCAGAGCTGGGAGGGCCTAACAAGTCCGACTGAAAGGACAGTTTAAAGTCCATAAGATGAAACATTGCAGTTTAACCTGTTAGATGATGCAGCGCTGCAGTTTTATCATATTAAAAGCGTAACTTTCTCAGAATATGTTCTGATTTAAATCCTCAGCACCACCATTATTTTATGGAAACCGATAACCACCTGGGAAATTATTGCACTTGTAAAGCAGCAAAATATAAGTTAGCAGGAGGGAGGAGCTAATGTTCCATCTGACTGCATGGATCAGGAAACCTTCACCTGTCTTACTCACCAGGAACTCATCTCTGATGAAGAACTTTGCTCGGGTCACTTTGGGGTCTTCATTTGCTTCTGGAACAGCTAGAAAACAAACAGCGATGTTGGGCTGTGGTCTGTGACATCACTTGTCTGTCGGTTCTCCGTCTATGTTCTTACATTCAGGAGGAACTTGGTAGTTTGTGTACTCTGGGAAATAATCTTCAAGTTTGGATTTCCCTGCTAGAATCTTGTCTGCCAGCACGTCTTGCTTGTTCAGGAACAGAATGACGGAGATGGTCTTCAGGAACCTGCAGCCAATCAGAGAGCACATAGTTCATCGGGCTAATCACACCTGAGCAGTGCTGCGCTCCTGTGCACGTGAGACTGCACCTGTTGGTCCAGATGGATCTGAACAGGTCCAGGGACTCTCTGAGGCGGTTGGTGGAGTTGTCCTCTCTGATGACCATATTGTAGCTGCTGCTGGCTGCGACAAAGATGATGGCCGTCACATCTGAAGGAAGCAAACGGACCTGAGTTCTGCTGGAACCCGGATTGCATCGTTAAACAGTGACTCTCTTACCGTTGAAGCACTGGATCCACTTCCTGCGCTCATCCCTCTGACCCCCTACATCAAACATACTGACAGACACGCACGCTTCATTGGAACGCCACGGCAACGACGCCATGGCAACGACGCCAGAACACAATATGGTGAGAACTTACTGGAAGTTGACTTTGTCCACCTGGAACCTGGTTTCAAAAATCCCTGAAGTCAGCACTCTGCAGCGCAGCAAATCCTGCAGAAGAAAGAGGATGAGGAGGAGTGGCAGCAGATGCTGCAGCCTGATTGGCCGGTCTCCTACCTGGTCAGTGGGCGTGTAGTCGGTCCTCCTGACAAAGTCCAGTCGGTCCAGAAAGCTGGAACACAGAAAACAAACGGATGCATCAAACTTAACCGCTGAGGCTTAACTGAAAACATTTGTGACATCACAGCCCTGGTGGGAGGAGCTTAACGCCAGCCGTCCTTACTACTGAGCGCAGTCGATCAGCTGGTATTCATTGGAGCGTTCGAAGCAGGCCTTAACGCCGTCGTCTTCCCACAGCTTCTGAGTATGCTCAAAGAAGTCCTGAAAGACACAGAGAGCTGTGAGCGCCCCCTGTGGGCTGCAGAGGGGTAGCGCACACAGTCCAGTAGAGTTTAAGGAGGAACTTCTGCTGCAGCAGGTCAACCAATCATCTCATTTGACCTCTCCAGGCTACTGTAGCTGCAATAAACACACCTGCTGTTCTTCAATCATATATTCTCGAACACACAATACTGCATTCGGCCATTTTGGAACAAAGACCTCAACAGTTTCTTTTCTTTTTTTCTGTATCTAAACTTATGTTGATCTTTGCCCCCTTTGATGCTATTACCATGGAAACTCTACACTGCAAAAACAATCCAGAAATAAGTAAAAAATGGCTTAAATTAAGTATATTTAGCCTTAATTTGAGCAGGTAAATAAGATGATTTGCCAATGGAATGAGTATTTTCACTCTTAAAATAAGATAGTTAGATAATATTTACTTGAAATAAGACGATAAAATAGTTTTTTCTTATTTTAAAAGGAAATTGTCTTGTTCCATTGGCAAAGTGTCTTACTTATCTCCTCAAATCAAGGAAAAACACACTTATTTTAAGAAAAAATAACTTATTGAGATTTATATTTTTTGCAGTGTAGAACTCCAATACCCAGAATGCAGCAGGGTTCAGGGGCATGAACGTAGCTCCGCAGGAGGAGTCTGTTTTATGGATGTGTTACAAAGTATGGCGGATCTAAGGAATCAAAAATACTGACGCAGTTAACATCTCCTCTTCTCATCGGTTTTTGTGATCCATCTGCATCAAAGCGTAAAGCACTTCTATGAGATCACGCAGACATGGGCGGCCATCCAATGCACAAGTATCTCCCTGCCCTGAGAGTCCGACGGGTCAAAGGTCATGATTGGTCTGCAGGTAAGCGTTCTCCTCTCTGATGGCCGGTCTGTGTGACGGCCCCTGATTGGATGCTTGTCTCATTAACCAATCAGCTGCTCCGTCAGAGGCAGCAGAGGAAGGGTGAAGACACTTGTTTTGTGTCTCTGAGGTCTTTGGAGACGAGCTGTTTAGATAATGAGGCCTCTGGTGACTCGCTGTGAGAGTGTCTCAGGTGAACTCGTTACATCATGTCATTAACATCATTAAAACAAACAAGCGGGTCTCCTGGTGCAGCTTCAGAGCACCTCAACCTTTTCTACCTGTTCAGGACCGACTGTTTGCGTTACGTGTGCATGGGTGTGTGAGCGTTTGCGCGTTTTTACTCCCGAGACTCTTTCGGCGCCGCAGGAAATGTTAACTGACACTTTCAACGTTTTCATTGGAGCAGGAAACAGTGAAGCTCTTCAGACCCGAAGCGTCTGCAGATAAACCAAGTCAAGCAACAGCCAGGAGAACCGTTAGAACCGGGGTTCCTGATGGTTAGAACCGTCCAACTGGTGCAGAGGGGCTACGCCTGTGCTACTGCTGCCAACGCCACTATGACATCACTGCTCACATGACCCACCTGTGTGGAAGTGTAACTTTACCTCAGTGTATTCAAAGTCCAAAAGCGGAGCGATGCTCTTGATGTAGTCCACTCTGAACTGGTTGCTTGGGTTACCCAGAGAGACGGGAGGAGTCAGGGCCCCCATGGCTGAGACAATGGTCTGAAACACAGAGACGGAAGCTGATTGGCTGATGAGGCATCGACCATCTGCAGGACAGAGACAGAACCGATGCCTCCTCTGAGTAGATATGGCACATCAGGGCAGTCTGGCTAAAACTAAGGCGTTCTTCTGGACAGAAAATGGTAAACGACACCAAATGGACTGCGGAGCATAGAGGGTCCTTTCTACCTGAAGACATGAGATGACCTCCTAAACATCTCTAGAAATGTAGACTCACCTGACATCACCGAAACTACACCTGACCTTTCCCTTAAGACGCCCTGAAGGTCACCCTGATGGTGAGGTCAGATCTGACCTTACCTCAGGAGACCATCAGAGGACAGCTGGGACACCCATAAAGTCCATCTACTGTTACTCTGATCCCCAAGGATCCAGAGACGCCTTCATGCACCTGATCTGGTCATGTGACTCACCACAATGGCATCCTTCACGTTCCTCCTGATGTCCTGAATCTTCTGCTGCTTCTCTCTGGGAATAAAGGTAGACCAGATTAGGACATGGAGTAGATGGACCCCCCCGCCCCATGAAGCTTCTCTGAAGGACAGGAAAGAGACTCACTCAGCGTTGAAACCGTCAACATGAAGAATCTTCATCTGCTTAACGATGGTGCTCTTACCTGATTCTCCTGCACCTGCACAACCACAGAGAGGACAGCGGACAGGGGGACAGAGAGGAGGACAGACGGGGAGACAGACAGGAGGAAAGATAGGTAGACGGGCAGATGGGGAGGACAAATGAAGTCTGGACTGTCGAGTCAAATCGAGAACTGATGAAATCATTAATGAAGTCCCTGATGGACAGGTGAGCAGATAGAGGGACAGGTGGACAGGTGTCTCACCCAGCAGCAGCAGTCGGTGGGTAGCTTTATAAGCTTGTCTTTCTTTCTGCAGCTGTTTCTCGATCTTCTTGTTTGCTTCTCTTTTGGCTTTTTCATCCAGTCGTTCTTCATCCGTCTTTCCTCCCAAACAACCCATCTCCACCGGAACCACTGTGACCAACAGAAAGGCTAATAGTGAGCAGTGTGAGTGTGACAAACAGAAAGGGTAATAGTGAGCAGTGTGAGTGTGACCAGCAGAAAGGATAATAGTGAGCAGTGTGAGTGTGACCAACAGAAAGGCTAATAGTGAGCAGTCTGAGTGTGACCAACAGAAAGGGTAATAGTGAGCAGTGTGAGTGTGACAAACAGAAAGGGTAATAGTGAGCAGTGTGAGTGTTACCAGCAGAAAGGATAATAGTGAGCAGTGTGAGTGTGACCAACAGAAAGCCTAATAGTGAGCAGTGTGAGTGTGACCAACAGAAAGGGTAATAGTGAGCAGTGTGAGTGTGACAAACAGAAAGGGTAATAGTGAGCAGTGTGAGTGTTACCAGCAGAAAGGATAATAGTGAGCAGTGTGAGTGTGACCAACAGAAAGCCTAATAGTGAGCAGTGTGAGTGTGACCAGCAGAAAGGATAATAGTGAGCAGTGTGAGTGTGACCAGCAGAAAGGATAATAGTGAGCAGTGTGAGTGTGACCAGCAGAAAGCCTAATAGTGAGCAGTGTGAGTGTTACCAGCAGAAAGGATAATAGTGAGCAGTGAGAGTGTTACCAGCAGAAAGCCTAGTAGTGAGCAGTGAGAGTGTGACCAGCAGAAAGGCTAATAGTGAGCAGTGAGAGTGTGACCAGCAGAAAGGCTAATAGTGAGCAGTGAGAGTGTTACCAGCAGAAAGGATAATAGTGAGCAGTGAGAGTGTTACCAGCAGAAAGCCTAATAGTGAGCAGTGTGAGTGTGACCAGCAGAAAGCCTAATAGTGAGCAGTGTGAGTGTTACCAGCCGAAAGCCTAATAGTGAGCAGTGTGAGTGTGACCAGCAGAAAGGCTAATAGTGAGCAGTGTGAGCGTGACCAACATAAAGGATAATAGTGAGCAGTGTGAGTGTGACCAACAGAAAGGCTAATAGTGAGCAGTGTGAGTGTGACCAACAGAAAGGATAATACTGAGCAGTGTGAGTGTGACCAGCAGAAAGCCTAATAGTGAGCAGTGAGAGTGTGACCAGCAGAAAGGCTAATAGTGAGCAGTGAGAGTGTGACCAGCAGAAAGGCTAATAGTGAGCAGTGTGACCGTGACCAACATAAAGGATAATAGTGAGCAGTGTGAGTGTGACCAACAGAAAGGCTAATAGTGAGCAGCCTGAGTTTGACCAGCAGAAACGCCAATAGTGAGCAGTGTGAGTGTGACCAACAGAAAGGTTAATAGTGAGCAGTGTGAGTGTGACAAACAGAAAGGCTAATAGTGAGCAGTGTGAGTGTAACCATGACCAACATAAAGGATAATAGTGAGCAGTGTGAGTGTGACCAACAGAAAGCCTAACAGTGAACAGTCTGTGACCAACAGAAAGGCTAATAGTGAGCAGTGTGAGTGTGAACCAGCAGGAAGGCTAATAGTGAGCAGTGTGAGTGTGACCAACAGAAAGGCTAATAGTGAGCAGTGAGAGTGTGACCAGCAGAAAGGCTAATAGTGAGCAGTGAGAGTGTGACCAGCAGAAAGGCTAATAGTGAGCAGTGTGACCGTGACCAACATAAAGGATAATAGTGAGCAGTGTGAGTGTGACCAACAGAAAGGCTAATAGTGAGCAGTGTGAGTGTGACAAACAGAAAGGCTAATAGTGAGCAGTGTGAGTGTAACCATGACCAACATAAAGGATAATAGTGAGCAGTGTGATTGTGACCAACAGAAAGCCTAATAGTGAAAAGTGTGAGTGTGACCAACAGAAAGCCTAACAGTGAACAGTCTGTGACCAACAGAAAGGCTAATAGTGAGCAGTGTGAGTGTGAACCAGCAGGAAGGATAATAGTGAGCAGTGTGAGTGTGACCGTGACCAACATAAAGGATAATAGTGAGCAGTGTGAGTGTGACCAACAAAAAGGCTAATAGTGAGCAGTGTGAGTGTGACCAACAGAAAGGATAATAGTGAGCAGTGTGAGGTCCACTAACAGTAAAACCTGGTGAAACGGCCGACGTGTCTAAAAACACCTGAAATGTTTCCAGATCAAACTGGATGTTGTTCCTGAATCATGACGTAATTCTGGAGCGTCTGTAAAAGACGACATCATGACGTTTCTACTGGAGTTGGTTTTCCTCCTTTCTTTCATCTATTCCCTCGTTTTCCTGTTACTAAACCCTAAAGCTACGGATTTATCCACCATGTTAGAGGTTTAGAGCTGCAGTATCAGATAATAGGATGAAGTTAAATCATAATGACCCAATACTGTCCTAGAAATGAGAACAACTCAAACACACAAGTTACTTTTCTGTAGAAGAATTTCCACTGCCTGGATGTCTGTGGTGAACTCTGCTCTCTGAGGAGCAGGAGGGGTCAGAGGTCAACACCTGATAAAGCAGAACAGTTTCCTTTTTTATTGATCAGTCAGCTGGAGAGAGCGAGACTTTTCCTTTTCTGGGAGAAACATTTGTTCTCAGCGTCTGAAGTTAAAACAACAGAACGTTCCTTACAGGCCAAACGGCTGTAAAATAAAATAACATTTACATTTTTCTAACAATGAGCAGGAAACGAATGGCAGGACGAGGATATAAAAAGGAGAGAAGCTGCAAGAAAATGCTTCTAAAATAAATTAGTTCTACGGTCATTTTGTGGTTTTTAACCAGGTCCAAACTTCCAGAACGAATCTTGAGGTTCCTGTTAATCTAAAACTAGTTTAGTTTGAAGTAAAGACATCAGAAAAATAAATAATCCAGTAAAACTGATTAAATGTTTCCCACCAGCTTTACTGACCCAGATCACCTGAGATAAACCACCTGAACCGGGTTACTGGAACCAGTTCCCTCAGTCTGAACACCTAACCGACCCGTTCGGAAGCGGGTCACCTAACCGACCCGTTCGGAAGCGGGTCGGTTAGGTGACCCGGTGTTTGAACGTTCCTCTCAGACCTTCAGCAGAGAATCTGAACCAGCAGCAGAATCAAGACATTAAAGCCAGAAACCAGAAGTTTTCCTGAAGCTGCAGAAAATCAAATCCACCTCTGGAATCAGATCAGAACCAAAACCATTAGCGCCGCTTCGTCTCATTTCATATTTAAACTGGTTCTTTGTTTTAACACCAGTAAGAAAGCAGCTCCAGTCCCAGTTCACTGACCTGTAGCTACCGGCAACCTTCTCTGCAGGTCCAGATCCGCTGGTTGCTCAGTTTTCCATCCAAGTCCACAAAGATCCAGTCACAGAAGCTGCAGCATCACCTGAGCTGTGGTTCGGTTCAGAGGACAGAAGCGGAGCTCCTGCAGCTTCTGTGATGTTTGCTTTGTGAAACACCTGAGCGGCTCCATCTCCCACCTGTCCCCCTCCCTCCTCTTCCTCATTAGTCCTCTTCCTCTTCAGGGGATTTCTCTATTTTTCTCCAAGCTGCTTGGCGACCAGCAGCCTTCTAAGACAAACTGCTCTTTTTCTGGTTCCAACTAAAGGCCATCTTTAAGATCTGATGTTCTGCTTCTTCTAGATCTTATTCTGGTTCAGTCAGAAACAATAAATGTGTCCTTAGCACATTCTAGTTCTAGTTCTAGGCTTCTGTAGAGCCTGAGAACTTTGAGCCAAGTCCAAGAACTCCTCGGGTGAGCAGCTTGTGAGGGAAAGACCTGGACTATACCAGACAGACCCCCCCCCCCCCGCCACAAATGGTCTTCTGTCAGTCAGAGGATGGATGGTTGATTAAACCCAGTCCTGTTCAGTGGGAATGTGGGAACCCTGCTGCCCCCTGCTGCCAGGTTGGGGGTACCAGAGCACTTCCTTCACACTTCAGCTTCTCTCACCTGCAGCTTTTCTGACTTTGAGCCACTGTCTCCATCTGCTGGATACCTAGAGTCGGTACACACCCCCCAAACCATCACCATGGCAACCGGCAGCAACCAACATCCACACCAGCGTTCAGTTTGAGTCTTTAATTGTTTGGAACAGAATTGATGAGAAACAAAATGATTACAGAAGATCCTGGACATCCTTCTCATTGGCCATGAAGCAGAGAACATCTGAGATCATCTCTGCTCTGCTGTAGGGGCGACTTCCTAATGGTCGGATGATTCTCCAGTCCTCAGCTGGTCACTTTCCAAAGTCTTCAACCTGAGGAGACGGGAGATAAAGCCAAAGCTCAGGATCCATCTTCACCTCAAGGTCTTTAATCCACCAAATGTGAACCAGACTGGGAAGAAAAACCTCTTTGAATCGGATGATAGAAACCTAAAGACGTCTAAACCAGAACCCAAAGTCCTGAAGAGACCAAAACAAGGTTCTAACAACGTCCCTCCCTCATAGCTACTCTGACGCAGTAACGTTCATATTTAGTCCCTAACCCAGGCATGTAAGATTGCCTTAAAATGTTGTTGGTCTCCAATATTCATGCCGTCATCCTGGAGGTCCTGTCCGCTGTCATAGCGGGCCTTTATCTTTGGAAAGGTCCAAAGAAGAAGGCGTGTAAGGAACCTGGGAGGGTCTGCATCTACAGCTGATGGTCCTGATGGTCTGAATTCATCTAAACCTGGTTCCAGTCAGCAGATCAGCAACAGGTTCTAGGAGTAGGAACAGGTGTAGAACATCTCAGACTGACTTTTTTAGGTGTTCCTCGCAGAACGAACTGAGGCGCTTCATCTCAGATTGGAAGAAGGTCTGAAAGACAAACAGGAAAACAATGTTCACACTAAACCACGAGAAGAACCGTCCTTCACTGAGTCAGTCACAGAACTTCATGCCGAGTTCAGAGAACCAGCAGCACGGCTCTACCTCAGATACTGATGTGAAGAGCAGTCAGAGATCCTGATTCCAGGTAGGTTTCAGTTTTTACAGTGGAAACGCACTCTGGATTCTCCATATTCATTTGGAATTCAACTTGTCAATTCCAGAAAACCAAAAAGTGCATCGTCCTCCAGTTTTCTTGGTTTTTGATATAAGAGAATTCTACCTTTTTGAGCCTCCACATCATCATCCAGTGTTGGTCCTTGTGGTCCATTAGGGCAGTGTGCAAACTCACAATATGGGAGCGAATAAACATGGAACCATGGAACTCAGACGTCGTCTGGTCAAACAAGGTTTGTGTCAGGTGTTGAAAAACCAGCTCACTATGATGAGAGGTAGGCTATTGGAACAAAAAGAGAATATACACAGTGGCATACGGCACTATTGGCCTGCTTCTATACCAGTAACCCTGACCAACGGGGTTATATGAAAGACTGGGAACTATGGAAGCTTCAATACCCACATTCTGGACTAACGGCTGAAAACCTGGTAGCTCAGTTTTCCAACATCCAGAAATGGCTGCTTATTTCGCAGGTGGAAGGCCAGAACATCCAACAAATGCAAGCTGTGCTGCTGCCATCAACACCTTTGTTTCTAGATGTTGGAGCTTGGCCTGTTTTCCAGTGTAGTCCTGTTTCTCTGACTGTGACTAACTGTTGCCTTTTGTATCTATGCTTCTTTTTCTATGTCTGCTTCTGTCTCCTTGAACCCCAGTGGGCCTCAGCAGATGGCCGCTCACACTGAGCCTGGTTCTGCTGGAGGTTTCTTCCTGTTCAAAGGGAGTTTTTCCTCTCCACTGTCGCTACAAGCATGCTTAGTGTGAGGGATTGCTGAAGAGTCAATGAGTCGATGCAATCAGCTGGTTTTCCTTAGATAGAAAACTTTGAATCAATCTGACTGGATGATCTGGTGAACTGGAAAGTGACCTGAGATGACATGATGTGAATTGGAGCTATAGAAATACACTGAATAGAATTGAAGTGGTAGAGAACGTAAGCTTGAGATGACTGAGCTACAGGAGTACAGGGTGTGTGTGTGTGTGTGTGTGTGTGTGTGTGTTGGGGGTTGAAGGAGAAGTTATTCTGTAAACAACCAGACTGTTTGCCTCCACTGTTATTTTCCTGTCAGCACCACCTGCAGTATTAGTGTTAGTTGCTGCATCAGTACCAGGATCTGTGAATTCATGGAGTTTAGGTTCCTGTAGTTCTCTTCCAGTTGCTTCAGTTGACCAACGACGTTGTTTTCAAACTGCTGCAGCAGCAACAACCTGCAGACACAGAAACAGGTTAGTGTTTCCACCCCATAACTGGGACTTTATTCTGACTGCATTTAATCCTTACCCTGACATTTACCACAAAGATCACTAGTATAAACCTAACCTAAGCTAGGATTAATTCACACATTGGAGGGGGATGAAGGTTGATGTGGGGTGGTGGAGTGTGGTAGATGTGGTGGAGGGGGCTGTTACTGTAGAAGCAGTTTTATTGTCTTATATCAGATCAGAATCAGAATATATCCTACACATGGCCTTATAGTTACTTAGCAACAAAACAGTACATGTTGAAGTTCAAGTATGAGTCTTAGCAATAATAAAGTCTCTAATGCCTTATTCGTACGCAATTAGATGATGAATGAGGAGGTTTGGCAAAACAGAGAGCATCTGTATAAACATTCTTTGAGGGTCGGAGTGACTTTCGAAGTGGCTTTCGACATGATATTCCTGTGCATGTGCAGTTACGTAATGCGATGTGGAAACTATAAATGCCGCCTAGAATGGACTGAAGGTTGGGGGAATTATAACTGAGACGTGACGATGCAATGCTGGATGTATGAAGTGTTTTAAGACAGCTGTATGAATTTGGTTTGTAATTAAATGTGTTCCCCCCTCCGGATGATAAAATGGTGTGAATCGTGGCCTTCTTTCTGTCATAAGGGAATTCTACCAATGAGCTTCCATATTACCTCTGCTGATGCACTGCTGTGAGCAGTGAGGAGACGTGTTGCTGAAACTCTTTTAGAGACGATAGAACATCACCTTCCACCCTCGACCAGGAACCCTGGAAAACGCCTTGAATCCATGATTGAATCCCAGCTTCACCCCCAGATTCCACATCCTCCATCCTGCTCCACCTACGTCTGGTGGAGCAGCTGCTCAGATATTATATTGGTGATTATATTCATTAACGAGAACTTCATCTGAATGTGCTTTACTGGAGGCATCCATGTTTGTCCAAGAACACTACTGCCACCTACTGGTGTGTGACGTCACGGTGCGGTATCAGAGTTTTTTAAATAATCACATTTTTTTTCCACTTTTACCCGATGTATTCCAGCATCCAGCTGCCATGCACGTGGGCATTGTCAGTTTCACTATAGCTCTGGTGAATTTCAATGGTGAAGTCCTCTGGAAATCTTCAATAATTGTTGTTGATTGCAGATGTGTCTAGTAGTTCCCATTGATTTAGCTTGGAAAGCGGGGAGAATGGCGCTAGGCTTACCGCACCGTGACGTCACTGCTGGAAGATGGCAGGAGGGAGGGGCTACTATATATGGGCAAAAATGGCCGCTCCCAGACTCAGTGATCGCAACGAAAAGGATTGTTTTAATTTTTAACAATAAATGAATTAATTCACAGCGAGCATATTAGTTTTAGGTATAAATAATGATCCATTGATTATTCCTGGCGGATTGGAGTTTTGCTTTAATGAACAGAGCGGATGAAAACCGGAGGCGGCGTTTTGCGGAGACGATGTGGAGCGGAGCGGCTGATTACAGAGGATGTGGGGTTTCAGGGTCAGAGGTTAATTAATAATGGTGACCAGGTGAGGCTACAGACGGTGAAGTGCTGCTCCAGCTGGGCTCTGAAGGACATCAATGCAGCAGTGATGTCGGACGTCAGGTGCGACTCTGGATCCGGTTCTTGGTCTGCCACAGGTGGCCACACCCCCTCACAGTCGGCAGCTCCCTCTGATCCTTCAGGTAAGCAGCCAGGTGAGCCTCAGATTAATGCAACAAACAGGGAACCTGCTAAATCTAAATACCTTTTACTGGTGAGCAAGACTCCGCCTGTTCTGCTGCAGGCTCCACCTTCTTTTTACTGGGTGTTACTCCCTGAGTTTGGTCTGACAGGTATCCTGTGGTAAAATGTTAGTGATGATGATGAATTTCCCCCCTTTATTATTATCTTTCTATATAAAAAAGGACAGAATCATCCAATGCCAAGAACTACTGAAACGTTGGTAGAAGGAGGTTTAGCTTGGATCTTTTAAAGCTTCAGTAAAGCAGTGATCAACCAGGTAAAAGTCAGGGAACAGGTGAGACCTGAATCTGCAGCTTCTCTCTTCCGCAGACTTTCCTGCCATTAAAAGAATAAACAATATTAAAAACCAGCAGAAAACCTCTGAGGTTTGATTGATGTCAGAAACAGGAAATGGACCTTCTTAGAGGGGGAGCTTCCTTCTTCGTGTCCCCGGCTCTCTTCTGGCATTTGAGGATGTTTCTCTGCTTGGTGGTCATCTAAAGGGGGGGGCTCCTCGCTG